GCGGGCGCGGTGCCCCGTTCTCCCCCCCTCCCGGCTGGGCCGCGGTCGGTGCCTGGCAGCAGAGGGTCGGCGCCGCCATCGCCATGGGCACCCGGGACGACGAGTACGACTACCTCTTCAAAGGTACCGCTGCCGGCCCGGCCTCGCCGCTCCGGGCTCGGGGCGGCCGCCGCGGCCTTTGTGCGCGGGGCGGCCCTGCCCGGGCCTGGCGCCGGGCTGCGCGTTGGCAGCGGGCGGTGGGGATCCGCGGGGGCTGGGCCGGGGGTGCCGCAGGTGGGGGTGGCCCCAGGATCGCCCCCGGTGCGAGACGAGCGGAGGAAACTTGGGTTCCGAGGGAGGAGGGCTCGCAGGTGCCCGCGGGGCGCCGGTAACGGGCGGGGAGCGGAGCAGCATTGATCGGGCTCTGCAGGGGTTGGTGTTGATGCTTCTGTCCCCGAACCTGGGACGTTTGGGTTGCCCAGCACCTGCATGCAGCGGCTGGGTGGGGACGTGGGTGTCTGCTGGCGCCGGCTCGGGTGGGTTTAGTGTCACTGGTGGGTAAGGGTTGCCGCCGGTCAGTGTCCTGCGTGTGTGAAGGTGCCTGGATCGAGCTGTTCCCTGCGGTGTCCCGCATCTCTGCCTTCGAGGCCTGAGCAATGGTGTGGATGGGGCTCAAACGTTTGCCTCCATGTTTGCTTCGTGCTCATCTGCTGGAAATCCTGGCTGGATGTGTTTGCCTGTTGTGTGTATTTGCTTTGCAGCCTTCAGGATAGGGTGGAAAACACCCCTGATTTCTTCTCTGTCTGTAAAGGAGAAGACTAACCTCCAAAAACGTGCTCAGCTGTCTGGGGCTAAACTAGTTTCCTTCTGAAGTCAATCCACCACCTATTTCCCAAGTGGTTTAAGAGCCAGGAACTTGAAAGGCTAAGCATTTTACTTCTTTTCTTTCTTTCTGTGAATAGTCAATGAGACAAAACTGCAGTCACCTTGGAAATGCATTTTGAATTCTGTCTGGAGTGAAACTTCACCTAAAGCTATTTGGTCAGGACCCATCCTGCTGTGTTGCTGCTGCAGAGGAGCTTGGCATAGTTTGTAGCTCTTAATGAAAAATGGGGGGTGAGGGAATTGTCCTTTTCTGTGTATCTTTTGGGTAGGGGTTGTGGTGTGGGTTTGTTTTGGGAAATGAACAAACCTTCCTCATATTTTCCTTCCTTATTGGCTTTTTGGGACTAGGCAAGAATTGAGGCATATAAATGGGACCAAGTGGGGTGACATCTCTGCTGTAGGACTGTCTTCCCCTTCTTTTCCTCCTGTCCCAGCTAGTAATGGGATTAAATATCAAGGAGAATTGATGTCATGGAGAAAAATCATGCCCAGGGGTTTGATTGGCTTCTGGGTTAGCCCTTTCTTAGCAATGTACATGGCTTCTGAACTGTCTTCTATCTGGTTTGTGTAGTGTCAAAGGTAGAAATAGCAATGAAGACGTCTGGGAAAGATTACTTTTGTCAAATTTAAGATTTGAGCACTCCCCCCTGTTTCCAAAGGAAATCTAGTTGGGACCCTGATTTTTAGCTTTTACAGTTGCATTTGTGTCGGAAGTTTGCATCCTTGTGTTGTAATATTATTTTGGATGCCGCAGTTGAATGCGGTGTTGCTTTAAAGTCACAATTTTTACTTTAATTTTAATATAGTGGGAGATCTGGAATTGCTTGTGCAGGAACTTCTGTGATTTAGCATTGATTGAGCAGCCTGCTCTAGTAGAAGGTGTCCCTGCCCATGGCAGGGGGCTGGAACTCGATGAGCTTTAAGGTCCCTTCAGCCCAAACCATTCTATGATTCTATTAATCAGCTTTATGCGAAGGTTAAAAGGAAGAGGGCCCCATTTATTGTTAGTCTCTTTCATGTAAAATAGTGCCTATAAAACAATTGGCTAGGGGTGAAAATGGCCAAGGGGTTTGTAGCAACAGTCTCTGTGTGAGCTGGCTCACTGTTCCTGGTGTTCTGTCATTTGTGGTGTCCATCAGCTTCTGCTTCAGGACCAGCCATTTCCAGAGGGAGAGCCCAGCATCAGCTGGCTTATTGGGTCTGGCACAGAGTAGGGAAAAACTAATTTAAGGTTTGGTGGCCCTCTGGGGATGTGAGTGTGGTCATGGTCAAAGCTGCTCTGCTAAGCTAGGGCCTGTTTATCTTTATTCCCAATTTCCCCTTCTGCCTGCATCCCGATAGTCAGAACTGCTGCTTGTATGCATCACCACAAAGTGACTGAGCCAGCCTTTGGGAGAAGAAGCTGGGTTTTGTCTGTGGGGCTGTGAGGATCTTGGGGAAGTGTTTTGGTGATGGAGTCCAAGTAGAGCCGGTGACTCCAAGCTCTGCTCCAACCGGGTTTGTAGCTGGGATGGTTAAGAAAAGCAGGAACTTCTCCTGATGAGTTTTGAATGGGTTTGATCTGGAACAGAATTCATGACTTTTTATTAGGAGTTAAAATATTGGAAGCCTTGTAGCTACTCGATGTGATGTGCACATGAATGTCCCTTTCCAGCAGAGGAGCTGTTATCAGGGTTTATTTTCAATCTGATGCTGGCTCCTGAGAAAGGAAGGAAAAAACACCCAGAGAAAAGGGGAGTTTGCTTTTCCCTTTGTGGGATTTTAGAGTGCTCTGATGAGAGCTTAAGCCTAACAAATCTTGTGCTTATGACAAATTCAGATCCATCATCAATACCTGGTGACCTAAAGGACTTAATGTTTCTGACGAGCTTTTCTACTCTGTCAAGACTTGTGCATTTGAACAGGCAGTGCTGTCTGGTGGCCTGTTCCCAAATGCAGGAACTTTATCAAAGTCTAATCACTTGGACCAGAATCTGGAAGGTATCTTCTTGCTTGATTCCTGTAGAAAACAAAAGTGTGTGGGTTCTGTCTTCTTGTGCACTTTCAGTCTTTGTCTCTTTCTCCTGACAGTGAAAATGCCTGTTTGATGCTCAAGGTTGAGTATTAAGGATGCACCACTATAAGGCAGAGGGAACGTTACTTACTGAGTTGGGATCTGGCTGCCTTCCTTTGTTACTTCTGCATCCAGTAACTCCTCAAAAATGCTCTCACAAGTTCTGCTAGGACCTGGAGCAGCCTGGGAAAGGGGGAGCCTGCAGCTTTGCCTGGTGATTGCAGCTGAGGAGAGGAACCAGCTAAAGGAGCGCAGGACCCCCTGAATTTCTTCCTGTGACAGATGGAGTTAATGACCTGAGAGCCATTTGTATGGCTGGTGCACAAAGCTGATGGCTCTAAAATGCCAGAGGATAGGAGGTGGCCAGAACCTGGAGAGGAGGCTGTGCTTTCTCCAGCTGCAGATTGACGAGAAGGTAATTCCCTTTGGAAACAGCTGAAGCTTCAGGGTTTTTCCAAGCTGGTCTAGCTTGTATGGTGGATGTTCTTACCTCTTCCTCATCATGGTCAGGAGTTTGAAGTAGGCTACAGCCTCCCCTAAGGCAGCGGATCACTGTGTAAGATGCGTGAGCTTTGGAACACCCAGTGGAATTAGTGATGAAAAACTTGGTCTGGAAAATAAAGCTAACAGAGTCCTAGAGTTAGAACTCCTCCTAAAATCTTTTTATAGTGTTCAAGGCCAGGTTGGAGGGGCTTGGAGCAAACTGCTCTAGTGGAAGGTGTCCCTGCCCATGGCAGGGGTTGGGACTTTAAGGAGCTTTAAGGTCCCTTCCAACACAAACCAGGCTGGGATTCTATGATTTTACCCTATAAACTGGATTCTGCTGTTTGCCAGTGAGGGCAGAGCAGTGAGGAGCTGCTTTAAGCTATCCCAGGTGGGACATTGTGGCTGCCTGTTCCTGCCTGTGGCTGTGGGACCCACCAGCTGCCTGTTCCTGCCTCTGTTGTGCTGTGACTGTTCAGCTGTGCCAGCACAATTGTCTGTCTGTGCTCTCAGCCAGATGAGGGGAGGGGGGAGTCTGGAGCATTTCAGCCATCTCCCAGCGCAGCTCCGGAGCTGTAACAGAGCTACAGCAGGAGTTTGGGAATGTGCTGGCAGGGTGTTGCCAGGGCTGTGTCCTGAAACAACAGCCTCAGCAGCAAAAAGTTATTATAACACTGAGAGATGAGTATGATCCTTAACCCTGGGAGAACGCTGGTGAGCTCATGCTGGAAGTGTGGAATGACAAGAGTCATCTGTAATCTGTTGTGGAGGGATCAGGAATGTTTTCTGCCCGTGTCTCCCTTTCCGTAGGAAAATCAGATTGTTGAATGAGGAAGATCAACAGATTGGAACTGGAGTAGGACATATTCCCGAGGTTGAAGAAGCTTCCTGACAGTGACTGCCTTTGCTCAATCCAGGGTGCTGTTAGTTTGAATCCCAAAGGCATACGTGACACAGGATTTGCTGTGACTAAGGGAGGGTGGCTTAATTGCTTTTAGTCTGTTTCCCTTTTGTTATTTCTTGCTCTAGTCAGTAATACAGGGATTTAAGAAAACGGAGCTAATGCACCTACACAAAAATAAAGAACGTGGAATGCCAAATCCTGGCTCTGCAGCTGTTGAGGATGAGGTCTCGTGGGGAGCCTGGTGCAGCGTGGCTGGGTGTGAAGCAGCAGGATGGCAGAGCTGCAGCCCTGAAGGAGGGGGAAACTCCTACTACAAGATGTACCTTTTATCTTTTCCTTCCAGTAAAGCTGGGGTTTGTGTGCTAGAGATCTCCCTGCGCTACCGTTCCTCTGTTAACATGGCAACACCTCGTGTGGAGGAAGAGATTTTGAGCTCATCTTTTCCTTCTCCTGCAACCTCCTAGAGCTTGTTTTGCTGGCACAGGTTCTGCTTTGCTTTGTATCCTGTTTGTAGGATCAAGTGTCTCCTATTTTCCCCTTTTTGTGGTAAACCTATTTATGAATTATTGAAATAAAATACCCTGTATGGCCCCAAAAAGGTCTGCAAAGAATTGTTTCATTCCACTTACTGTGGCTTTTTATTTTTTTTAAACTAGAGTAGGTTTATATTGTACACAGGCTTTTGTCAGCCTGTTGCCGTGTTCTTGATTTAGTGTTAACATGGGGCTTTAGGGGCTTGGGAAGCAAGCTGTGAGTAGTAAAAGGTGGTGTAACTTTCTCCAATGTTTATCTAGCTTGCAACTCCTCTGGGTCCTGCTCCACTGCAGTGTGTAAATGCTGGGATGAAGAATTACTATCTAAAATACTGTCTTTTCTTTCAGTTGTTTTGATTGGAGACTCTGGAGTTGGGAAGAGTAATCTCCTGTCCCGTTTCACACGCAATGAGTTCAACCTGGAGAGTAAGAGCACCATTGGGGTGGAATTTGCCACCAGGAGCATCCAGGTGGATGGGAAGACGATAAAAGCCCAGATCTGGGATACTGCAGGACAAGAACGATACCGTGCCATTACCTCAGCGTGAGTACCAGGGCTGTGCTCAGGCTGAGGGCAGAGTTCTAGCAGAGCTGGTGCAGAAAAACTTATGGGTAGAGAATTAATGAAACCCATTTGGGACACATGACAAAATCATTGTGACAGACGTCGATGTAGATCCAAGTCATAAGATAGGAAATTTGTGTTCTTTGATTAATATAATGAAACTAATTTTTAGATTCTAGTGGTATATTAGAAAAAAATGACCACTTAAATCAGAAGGGTGGGATGGTCTGTTCTGAGCCTTGTGATGTGGGTTTTTTAACTGCCCTGGATGTGTTATCTTCCATCAGAAATGGCACTCATTCCCCATGCTGAAGCTGGATACTGTTTGGCGTCAAGCTGTAGTGTAGGAATGGTGGCTTCTGGTCTCCATTGCCCCCTCAATCTTGAGACTGAAGGCATTTTTAGAACAGTCTGGAGCCACAAACTCCCCTGAAACCTCAGTAACTTGGAATTAGTCACAGCCCTGAAAATTAGGTCCAAGAGTGCAGGCTGAATAACCAGTAAGAAAGGGAACTGTAGTACTACTGACTGTAGCATTAAGCACATCCCTGCTTAGAACAGTGGTGCTGAGAAGCTTTTATGCACAGCACCTTGTTACTCTAACCAGTGTCTTAAGATGTAACCTCTGGGTTATAGCTATTTCATGCAGGTAATAGGCAGAAGTATATCTGGGGGGAGAGAACCCTATTGACATGCCTGGTTATCCAGGGCATGTTCTAACCAGTGAATTGGTATCTAGCGTTACAGATGTATATTAGTTTTAAAAGGGACTGACTTGTTTCTGAATCATGCACAGACTGAGCCATTTGTGTTAACCTCAAGGTAAGTGGAACTTTCTCATGGGGATGAAACGGGTAATGCAGAATAGATGGGAGAACAGTACAAGACCATGGAGCCCAAAGGGCTCCTCTACGGAAGGAATGCAAAACAAAGGAATGCAGAAGCAGATGTGATTTCAAATTGCATCTTGTTAGTGTGTTTTTCAAATGTATTTTCTGGTTTGTGACCCTCAACTTTTTCTTACTGCTGGAAAAGCACAAAAACTGCTCCCGAGACTGGTTCCACTAATGAGAAGCAGTTCATCTTTAGTCCTGTGCTCCTGCCTCTCCTCTGTGCTGGCACAAGCTCTTGCTTGACACATGGCTGGGCCAGTTGAGCTTGCTGAGCCAGCACAACACCAACCAGCAGTAGAAAGGGAATGTTTTCTGCTGACTTGGTGTCCCAAATCAGTTCAGTGACATGGTAGCCAGGTGCTGGAGGAGCAGGGAAGTGGTGGGATTGCATGGAAGAGAGATATGGCTGTTACAGGATTGCTGGTACTGACTGGCTTGTGCTGTCCTGAGCCCTTGGCTTGAGTTGAAATGCACCCAACCTGTAGTCACCAAGATAAAAGCACCAGATAACAAACCACCAGGTTTGTTGGTGGAACTCAGGCAGAACTCTAAAGGGCTGTACCTTATGGTTTCAGATATTATCGTGGTGCTGTTGGGGCTCTTCTTGTCTATGACATTGCCAAACATCTCACCTATGAGAATGTGGAGCGCTGGCTAAAGGAGCTTAGAGATCATGCAGACAACAACATTGTCATCATGCTGGTGGGGAACAAGAGTGACCTCCGCCACCTGAGAGCTGTGCCCACGGATGAGGCCCGGGCTTTTGCAGGTTTGTTGACAGTGTTGCTGGGTTTGTGCTTTCTGAAGGTGATGATGTTGGTGCAAGCTGTTGGCCAGGACTGATCGTTCACCTCAGGTTTATTTCTGACCCTAAAAAAGGCTTTTAAGATTGCCTTTAAAGTGAAAATCTCTTGGTTTATGAAACGGTGTGTGTGGTTGGTTGGGTTTGTGGGTTTGGTTTTTGTTTTGTTTTTCAATCTAGTGGTAGTACACGTGATTGAAACTGTCCTTGAGCTGCCTGATAGCTGAAGATGAAACACTTCCTCTAGCAGGGCTGGACACAGTGAGCAACATTGAGAAGGGAAAATGTCACAACAGAAATACAAAATATCACAACCTAAAATGTCCTTCCTTCCTCCCTTCCTTCCTAGAGGGCTGGTTCTGCTGAGGTACAGATCAGTGTGGACAGCAGCAAATGAATACTGAACCTTCTCGTAGGTGGTGGAGTTTATGCTCCAGAGCACTGATGTCATCAGAGTGTAGTGTCATCTAGTTTCATTTATGAGACTTGGGACTGGTAATCTTCAAGATTCCAGATTCCCAAGTCTTTCTTGGGAGAAATCAAGTGGGTTTTGTGAGCTGCTGCCACTGCATTACTTTACTCTCTTCTTTATCCTGCAGAGCCTGTACAGGCCACACATGGGACATTCAACTTAATTTTGTGTGGCTGTCAAGCTTGGAGATGGAATTTAAATGTATAGCCTTTAAAATCCTTCTAGGAATATCGCTATAGTTTGCTTAAATGTGTTCTGAAGTTGGAACTAGATGACCTTAAGGCCCTTTCCAACCCTAACTATACTATAATTCTATGAACAAGGGCTGTGGTGAGAACAGTGTTCTCACAAGCGGTCAAAGGGACACTGCTGAAACACCAGCAGCTAAATAATGGGTGCACCAAGTTCATAATGTAACAGGAAAACAAAAAAGACTCTGCCCCATCTGGTTTGACCTATAAATTAAGGTGAAAACCTCAAAGTAAATGTGAAATGAAGTGATAGTACAGTTCTTAATTGAACCACTTGTTATCTATTACAGAGAAAAATAACTTATCTTTTATTGAAACTTCTGCTCTGGATTCAACAAACGTAGAAGAAGCCTTCAAGAACATCCTTACAGGTATGGTTTTGTTTTTTTGGAGGACCTTGAGAGGTAGTGGATCTTCTTCACGGGCATGTTTTGTAGTTACCTAGAATATTTGGGAAGTGTTAGGAACGATGGCTAGTTTGCAAGCCTTCCAACCTTAGCTTTCTGTTCTGCCTCCCACCCCACACATTGCTTTCTGCTCAAGAACCTGGAGGTTTCTAGTCTCCTGATAGCCATGGAGATGCTGCGAGGGCTGGAGCAGCTCTACTCTGGAGCCAGGCTGAGAGAGCTGGGCTGGGTCAGCCTGGAGAAGAGAAGGCTCCTGAAGGGGAGACCTGAGAGCAGCTCCAGTGCCTAAAGGGGCTGCAGGAAACATGGAAAGGGGCTTTGGACAAGGGCCTGCAGGGACAGGCCAAGGGGAATGGCTTTAACCTGCCAGAGGGGAGACTGAGATGAGCTCTTAGGCAGAAGCTCTTCCCTGTGAGGGTGCTGAGGCGCTGGCACAGGGTGCCCAGGGAAGCTGTGGCTGCCCCATCCCTGGCAGTGCTCAAGGCCAGGTTGGACACAGGGGCTTGGAGCAAGCTGCCCTAGTGGAAGGTGTCCCTGCCTGTGGCAGGGGTTGGAACTGGAGGAGATTTAAGGTTCCTTCCAACCCAAAGCAGTCTGGAATCCTGAGAGGGGAAGTGCTGTGTAATTTGTCAGTATGTTCTGTTTTTTTTAAAAGCTCTTTAAGATCCATACTGTGAACAGGAGCAGTTGGCAAGATCCAGTTCCTGTCTATTCCTTACCATAGCTGAGTTCTAGGCCAGTAAAATAAGCAAATAAACTGAACTCAACACACTGTCTCCTGGGCTCCCAAAAGTGTTGAGATTGACCAGCTCAGGTACAGTGGGGATGTGGCTAGTGAGACTATGTAGTCCTGAAAAGGCCATTCCTAAAGTGATTACCTGGGGGAGAATAATCCTATGTGAGGAGAAGAAACCTGGGAAAATGTGCTGTGTAAAGCAGTGAGCTGAGAGCAACCATGGAGGGACTTGGAGGAGGGAAGAGGGTGGGAGCAGCAGGACAGGAGCTTCCTCACTGGCCACCAGTTTGAGGGATCACTAAAGGCTGGGGTGGGAACCCAAACAACTCACTAAAACTAAAGAAACCCCAAACCAGCAAAAAAAGCGGCAGGTAGTAGCCAAGGGAATGAGATCAGCTTTGGTTAAAGGTTTCTATTTTAAACATTGTAAATACGTCCACCTCTTAATAAACACATCAACAAACCCCACAGAGTTCCCCATGATCTTGAATCCTCACTAAAGACTTTGGGTGTTTCTGTTCTGAGGCTGTGGCTGCATGAATGTGACCATAATATTTACCACAGATTTCCAGGGAGGTCCTTGCCCTTTTCCTGTTTCACAATAGAGGGAAGTTGGAGCAAGGACTGTAGTCAGTGAAATACATATATTAAAAAGTTTTCAGCTGAAGTTATTTCTACTACCTGCACTTGAAATGGTTTGTTTCTGAAGGCCTTGACCCTGGCAGTCTCTCTTTGGTGGTCACAGCTTTGTGCTTTTAGGCATAGATTAGTTTGAGTCAAATTCATCTCTCGGGAAAAGCATTTTTGGATCAATATGGAGCTTTATGGGACCATGTGGCTTTTTACTGTCATAGGTGGGAGAACAGATTTGTTGCAGGGAGGCACTGCTGTCATTGGTAGTAGCAGCAGCTTGCCAGAAGCTGAAGTGTGAAATGGAGCCCTGTTACCACTGCTGCACAATGACGTTCTGCATCCTGTTGATTGGGGTGTCTTAATTGTGCTGCCTTGTTTTTGAATTAGAAATGATTCCCTGCTTTAGAAATGAGGATTCTCCTCGTGATCCAGAACGCCCCCCGTCTGATGGGCTGATCCCCAGAGCATGAGCAGCAGGTCGAGGGAGGAGCCGTGCCCTGCAGAGACCCCCCCCTGCAGTCCTGATCCAGCTCTGGGGCTACAGCACAAGAGGGATGTGGAGCTGTTGGACTGGGATTGGAGCAACCTGCTCCAGTGGAAGGTGTCCCTGCCTGTGGCAGGGGTTTGAGCTGGATGAGCTTTAAGGTTCCTTCCAACCCAAAGCATTCCATGATTCCTGCTCCTTTCTAATTTAAAAAGCTTTTTAATAATACCCATGTTCATGGAGTCATCGAACAAGAACGTGATACAAAGCACTGTGGTGGAAGGCAGTAAGGAATCTTGTCTTAATAACTTTTCCAGACAAAGCTGACGTGTCCATTACAGAGCTGGAAAGCCAGCCAGATGTTACATACCACAGCTGCTGAAACTAGATTCCCTTTCACAGCTCTCAAGTTAAAATCTTCCTTGTTCTTGGGTTCTTGCATCACCTCTGACAGCTTGCTCTGACGTGTGCTGTGTTGGGAGGCCACATCCTTCTGTGCTCTGAGCAGTGTGTTCTCATTGCAGAGATCTACCGCATTGTTTCGCAGAAGCAGATTGCGGACCGCTCTGCGCATGACGAGTCTCCTGGCAACAACGTTGTGGACATCAGTGTCCCACCAACCACCGACGGACAGAAATCCAACAAACTCCAGTGCTGTCAGAATCTGTGACCTCCTGTAGATGACTCCTGTGCCCGCCAAATTCGTCTGTGCTTCATTTAGAAACTTGTGTGCACTTCTTATCTCCTGTGATTCAGTGACTCCCTCTTCCCTCCTTTATCCCATTCCCAAGTCCCATCCCCCTCCCTTTCATCTTAGAGCTTTAATCGTAGGGCTAACATCCCCCTGCCTCTGAACTCCCTTTCCATGTGGTGACTTTTGGGCTTGAAATGTAGGCACTGATCTGATAGACATGTTTGTGTTGGAACATCTGCTGCTGGATATCATCCCATGAAACACTCTCCTCAAAGGTTTTTGAGGGTTTTTCAGGAGAGAAACCATGGGGACTTGACTATAACAGTTGAAGAAATAACTACATGTAGGTGACAAGGTTTTTCCCTCCCAGTGTTGTGTTTCTGTAAACATGGGGGAGAAATTAAAATAGCTGTCCTACCTACCAAATGCTCTGTTTCTGTCCTGTTCAAGTCTCACAGCGAGGTTTTTAGTCTCTGCACACACATAAGAACTCTGAAAATAACATTACTTTATATGTAATTACCCCTAATACAGTTTGTCTGGCTGTGGAGCTTACAGTTTCCTGCTTGGGGAATCTTCCTCTCTTCTTGTTTTATTTGGGAACAATGAAGTATGTCTGCATTGCTTTCTCTGCCACCCTGAATGCCTGTGCTGTGTGTGCAGGCTCTCTGATGTGGCTCAATATTTATTCACAGCTTCTGTTAATCAGTTCACGTTATTGTACAGTAAGTGCCAGCATCTTGATTTCAGAAACCTTTTGCAACCTGTACAAGTAGCTTATTTTGTACTGTAGGTCAGTGTTGGAAAGCAGGAGCTTCTGTAGTTCCAGGGTTGGTTTTGTTTCTTTTGCATGCTGCTTTTTTCTCTAGATCTCTCCTACCCTGTTTGAGTGAGTGAAGCAATATGTTCATGTCACCTATAGACCTGCACTTGTAAGGGGTTTGGTTGTTGTAGAGGAACATGATAATACATTTTGTAAGCCTTCTGCAGAACCATCTTGAACTTTCTCTTCGTGACCTTTCACTATTGACCTTGCGCATAATCTTCTTGACCTCTACTAAAATATGTAATATTAAGACTTCACATAATAACTACTAAGCTGTTGTTTTCCTCTCACTCAGTTTTACTGACTGTAACTCTCAAATGATTGTACTTCACCTGATGGAAGGGATTTGTCATCAGCAGGGCTACCTACTACAGTACTTTGTTTTGCTGAATGGGAAGAATGTTAACACAGCGTGGTGTAGTCAGTCTCTTGCTAGCTTGTGAACATCTTCTGTGATGGCTTTTCATCCTTCACTAGCTCTTACACACTTGGCGTCCCCTCTGGTACATGCTGAATGTTATATGATGAGACAAATATTGGGTGAAACTATCTAAAGGAAGAGGTGGAGACCATCTGCTGTTCTCTGAAGCAATTTGCAGTGAATTTTTGCTTTGTATTCTGAGACTGTACCTCACTTGATGCATATTAGTGAGTTAATTTTTTTTTTCTGATACAAAGCAAATAGGAAAGTGAATTGTTCTTAAAGGGGAAATCTGACATTCCAGTCTCAACTGTTCTGTCTGGTTGTGTAATAAAACTAAGGGCGGTTAACTCTGATGGTTTTTCTTTTCTAAGACTTCCAGACCAATGACTTTAATTTTGTACTGTCTGCATCCAGAGGGCTGTAGCTCATAGCAAAGGTGGACATGGTGCCTAAGCACTTCCAATTTTCACCTTTGTTTATAGAGGATACATTCAAGGTGAAGGGGTTCCTGCTTGCAGCCTCTTCCCATTGAGTGAGGATAAGTATTCCTCTTTAGGCTCTGTCCTAGAGGGGTCCCAGTTCAGGATGCACCTTTTAACACTTTAATAGACTCCTGCTGAGAGAAGATACAGCCAGTGGGAACTGGGGCATCTTCTTTTCGGTGGTTCTAGACCAAAATGAGATGTGCAGGGCTGACAGATAAGCACCCCATCAGAGTGGAAAGTTCAGAGATACTGAAAATACTTTGTTCAAGAGCAGGTGGACACTAATGGAGCTGAGCTCCTTAATTTTTGAACAAAACTCTTTATTAAATGAGTTGAAATAGTGTGAGGAAGAATCATGCTGTTAAAGGCAACTTAGTTGAGGGTGTGTATGAATGGGTTTACTCTGCAAATCCTATTCTTAACATGAAGTTTCTAAATCAACCTGGTGTCCTGTAAGAAGCTGAGAAGCTGTTTAGTCACTTCCTTGTCTCAAGGATTTTCTTCAGTCTTTGGCTTTGTGGGAGACTCTAAATTGCCTCGGAGTCCAAGCAAAAGGTCCATGTCTAGGGCTCAAGTGCCATTAAATTATACAGATGTTGAAGAGCCCTTGTACAACTTTATTGTGCATTGACCAAACATCCCTCAGAGCAGGTGGATTTTGAGCCTGTGCTGTTCATGCCATGGGGGCTGGGTGGTTTTGAGCTCTGCTGTGTGTTGTGGAAAGCCTTTTGCTGTAGGGCTGTTTGGTGCACCCATAAAGGTGGTTTGGTGGTGAGCACACAAACAGGTAACTGGTAAAATTAAGTTCATTGGGTAGACTAGCCTCAATCTAAATGCTTATCTTCCTCTTGAATCAGATGTTTACAGACTTAAGCGAGCTAAAGTCTCCACCAGGAGTTTGTCAATAGCCTGTACAGGCCAAGAAAGCTTGGTTCATAGGAAGGTTTGGAGCTCTACACTTGCATCAATGTAAAAATCCAGTTGATAAGTAACTGTTTGCTACTTTTTGTGTGTGCTCTGGAGACCATCAAGGCACTATGATCCCTTCTCAACATCTCTAGCAGGTTAGAAGCACTGCTGCATCCTAAACATCCCCCTTGTTTGGGTTTCTTTACAGGCTGTTCTGTTAGATCACCTGCAATGACCCCCCCAGTACATGGAAAGGCTGGTAACAGGGTATTCGTGTGTGAACAGGATGCAGCAGGGTGGGAAGGATGTACAGAAGATATTTTTGTTTCCTTACGCTTTGATTCCTGCATGCTGTACTGTTCCAGAAGTTATGGATGTTATCTGTCTTGGGGACTGGCAGTGGATGAGTCTTACCTGTGCTTGGTGATTGTTTCCTTTCCAAGCATAAAGGAAGGCCTTGCTTAGAGGTTTTAGACTCTGTAGCATAAAGAAGATCCTTATGAAGTGACTCAGTCAGTTAGGGAGGCCTTTTTCCTTCAGAAAACAAATAAGACCCAGTATTAAAGCTAGGGGCTGAAACTGAAGTAAGAAGAGAAAAATCAATCAATTACAGGTGAAGACTGACTGTCCTTAAGGTAAAACATAGTGAATCAGGGCTGAAGTTGTATTCCTTTGACTTGCAGACTCTTGATAATGAATGGTGATTAATGGAGTATCTCCAGGGCTCCACTCTTTCAATAGCTAACAGTTAACTTTACACAGGTCAGACACCGAACAGCAGTGTTGTCCATCAGGCTTTGTAGGCTATAACCAGCACTGGGCCTTTATGCAACCCGGAAGAGAAGTTCCTTTCCTTTACTTTCCCCCCGGTTCCTGTGTTAAGTGCAATTTCACTCTGTAAATACCGCCTCACTCGGTTTTTGTGCATGGTTACGCTGTACTGTGGATATAAAGATTGCCAAATCATACCGTGTGTGCGACGTTCTGTTCCAAACGCCGGTCGAGAAGGAGGTGGGGACGGAGCTTTGGGCCTGGGCCTCGCCGGGTCCGCTCCTGCCTCAGCCGGTGGGGGGCGCTGGGCTGAGGGGAGCGGCGGGCGGGAGCTCGCTACCGCCAGTGCCCAGCACCGGGCGCGGCGGGGAGGGAGCCCGGGGCCGGGTCGTGCCCTCCCGGAGCCGCGGCCGCCTCAGGGAGCAGCGGAGGGACCCGGAGCTGAGGAGAGCCGGGATGGGCGGGGCCCAGCTGCCTTGCAGGGCTCCTATTGGCCAGCTGCTGTTGCCAGCGAGGTCGCGCAGCGACGCCGGCCGGGTTCCCTGAAGGCCCATTGGCCACGCCGGAGCCGGCGTCAGCGCAGTGGGGTGCGGTGATTGGCGGAGACCGCGGTGGAGGGGCGGGCGGTCGCGGGTGGGCGGTGCCTGGCGGCCGCAGGAGCCGGTGATGGGGCGGCGCGCGCCGCGCTGAGGGGCCGCGGGCGCCGGGACCGCAGGTACCGGGCGGGGCGGGGCGGCACCGGCGGCGGCAGCGCCCGGGGTGGGCCCATGGGCAGGGCCCCGCTCCGGGCGGGTCCGCGGCGGCTGGGCCGCGGTCCGGCCGTGCCGGGGGGGGGGTCCCGGGAGCCCTGACAGCCCCCCTGTGCCCTGGCCCCGCTCGGGCGGGGGTTGGATCCGCCCGTGGGGGTGTCCTCAGGCGTCCCGGGGCCGGGGAGGGCGGCGCAGACCCCTGCCCGCCCAGCGGGTGGGTTTAGCGAGGGCAGCGCTGCGGCCCGGGCCTGCGGGTGTTGCGTGGAAACAGAAGCTGGGAGAGAAGCGCTGCGGGCCGGGGCTGTGGGCAGCCGGGTTTGGTGTCTGTTCGTCAGACTGCGTGTCCGTGCGGGTATGTGGTTGTTGGAAGAGAATTCGTTGCAGGTGGCCTCCTCTGCCTGGATTTATTTCCTCTCTTGGGGTGTTACTGTCTCTTCTGAGATGATGCTGCAAGGGCTGAAGCAATTCCATGATTGATTCCAATCATGGAATGATTTATGTTGAAGGGACCTTAAATTTTCCAGCCCCACCCCCTGCCACGGGCAGGGACCCCTTCCACTGGAGCAGCTTGCTCCAAGCCCCTGTGTCCAACCTGGCCTTGAGCACTGCCAGGGATGGGGCAGCCACAGCTTCTCTGGGCACCCTGTGCCAGCGCCTCAGCACCCTCACAGGGAAGAGCTGCTGCCCAAGAGCTCAGCTCAGTCTCCCCTCAGGCAGGTTAAAGCCATTCCCCTTGGCCTGTCCCTACAGGCCCTTGTCCCAAGCCCCTCTCCAGGTTTCCTGCAGCCCCTTCAGGCACTGGAGCTGCTCTCAGGTCTCCCCTTCAGGAGCCTTCTCTTCTCCAGGCTGCCCCAGCCCAGCTCTCTCAGCCTGGCTCCAGAGCAGAGCTGCTCCAACCTTTGGGGCATCTTCATGGCCTCCTCTGGACCCACTTGAGCAGTTCTGTGTCCTTAAGTTTGAGCAGGTGCTGCATCTCTTGAAAGAGGAGACTTCTGAAGCAATGTGTATAGGAAGCAGGAGTGTTCTTGCATTGCTGGTGCTGCTACTTTGGTAGAGGACACGGGCGAAAAGAGAAAGAAGAGCCCACATGGCTCTGGTGCCTTCAGGAGGCAGCACTGCTGAGCAGGAGCAGGGCAGGGATATGCTTGCCGGTGGTCGGGTCGTTGGTTTCATGCTTTGTGAGCATGAGAACTGCTTTCTTTCACCCTGGTTCTTGATTTCAATAAAAAGTTCAAGTCTTCCTAGTGTATCTCTTTCCCTGCAGAGAGAGAGTAGTGAAATGATGAGGGAGGTGGCACAGGGTTTCTGTAGTTGCATTATGTTGTGAATTGTGCTGATGTCTTCAGAGAAGCAGCACGTGTTTCTCATGTCCCAGCTGGTTTTCTGATGTTTCCTTACGAAACTGGTTCTTAAAATGGCTGATCTGGGGATTGGAGATACCCTCTGCAAAGAATTTTCTCCTAATGTTGCAGTTCGTTTTTCCAGATGTTGGTAATTAAAGGGCAGTAAAACTTCCCTTTCATAGGGTCTTGTGGCAGATAAAAGTCTCCGAAGATCAGAGATAACTGTTCATTTTGGCACTCCAGCTGCAACGCACGGCCTGCTCTGTCCCAGGAAAGGAGCTGCTCTAAGGTCTCCCCTTAAGGAGCCTTCTCTTCTTCAGGCTGAACCAGCCCAGCTCTCTCAGCCTGGCTCCAGTACATCCTATAGGAAGGGGTCCCCAGCCTGGAGTGTGGGGCTGCCAGGTCTACCTGTTAGGCGCTGCAGCCACCTGCAGCAGGCAGAGCTCAAAGATGTGTTTCAGGCCAGGGATTGGACTTGGGCCATGGCAAGATGTGTGTTAGCTGGATGAGACAGGCTGTGTGGGAGCAGGTGCTTAGATGTGGTGAAGGAAGTAATTCTTTGTACTTGTCTCCTTCAAGATGTTTGTGTTCAGAGCCTGGGGCCCCAGGATTTGGGAAATCCATGGTTTTCTGGTGGTGGAAAGGGAAGCATTGATGTTTGGAAATGCCCTTTAGCAACTGAAAACCTTCCGTTCGCACACACGTGATGTTTGTAGGACCATATGATCAGAAAACTCAGTGTGTGCATACAAGTGTTGGCTAAAACGGGTTTGGGAACTTCTGTGCAGATGGGTGCATTATGCTGGCTGCAAAACTTGGTTATCTCCTGGTGGCACCATAGTGAGGTTCCAGGTCTTGGTTATGGTAATCAAGGAAGTTCTCAGTGAGAGGAACAGACTTGGCTGGTGGCAGCCTTGCCAAGAGGTGTTTTGTCTGTTCTGGAGATGTCCTGGAGAAGCTAATCCATACAGAAGCTGGTGAGTACAAAGAGGTGGAGCTGGTTCTAATTTCAATTTGTTCTGGATCCTATCAAAGCCTCGGAATTGCCCAAGGGTTTACACTGGTTGAGACAGTCATCCTGTAGACGGGCCACCAGGAGTCCAGAGGAGCACCTAGCAATTCCCCTTTACCATGGTCATTTGGCCTTAGCTTTTCCTGTTGTCTTTCTCATCTTGACTGTGGCTTTTCTCTTTGTGGCTTTGATCAAGGTGTCCATCTGGCCTGCTATGGTTTCGCTGTGTTGGGGAGTAACTGTCTTACCTGGCTGCAAAGTCTGTGCAGAACAGACCTGGGGAACCCTTTAGCTCCTTGTCTTCTGCTTTTTCCTGCTGGGCATGTCTTCTGGATGGAGGGCACTGGTCCAGCCTGATCTCTCTGCAGCCTTAAGCTGCTCAGTCATTTGAGGAGCTTTTGATGCCCCTGTTGCCCTTTGGATGATACCAGCTGGATCACATACCTCATGGCAATGCCTGAAGACTGACAGGTAGAGGATCCTGGCATACCAGCACTGTGGTCTCTGCCTCGGAGTAGCAAAGCTGCTTCTCAAGGAACCGGCTCATCTTCCTGCTTGTGTTTGAGTTTTGGAGTCCTTGTGCATAACTCACTTTTCTGAGCCAACTTTCCACAAACACGGTTTGTTTTTCTTCAATTTGGGTAATCTCCACAAACTCAGCCCTTTATATCCTGGATCTGCTCAGAAGCTGGGGATACAACATGTTGCTGAGAAGAGACTTCTGATTTATTTGCTCATGTCTAACTGTGGCAGTAGAAGGGATATCAATAATAAACTTAATGTCTTGCAGGCTTTTTCTTTTTAAATGAGAATAAGAAATGTATCCCCAAGGAATGGGCTCAGAAATTACAACTGCCCAGAAGCATGTTGGAACAGGGTACCCAGAGAAGCTGTGGCTGCCCCATCCCTGGCAGTGCTCAAGGCCAGGTTGGACACAGGGGCTTGGAGCAAGCTGCTCTAGTGGAAGGGGTCCCTGCCTGTGGCAGGGGTTGGAACTGGAGGAGATTTAAGGTTCCTTCCAACCCAAACCAGTTTGGAATGCTGAGAGGCGAAAGTGCTGTGTAATTTGTCAGCATGTTTGTTCTGGTTATTGAAAAGCTCTTTAAGATCCATACTGTGAACAGGAGCAGTTGGCAGGATCCAGTTCCTGTACCTACAGGTACCTGGAAGGAGGTTGTAGTGAGGTGGGGTTGGTCTCTTCTCCCAGGTAACAAGGGGTAGGATAAGAGGAAACAGCCTCAAGCAGCACCAGAGGAGGTTAGACTGGAGGTTAGGAATTGTTTCTTCACTGAAAGGGTGCTCAGGCATTGGAACAGGCTGTCCAGGGCAGTGCTGGAGTCCCCTTCCCTGGAGGTTTTTAAGGGATGTGCAGATGTGGTGCTAGGGGACATGGGTTAGTGGTGGCTTTGGCAGTGCTGAAGGGATGGTTGGACTTGATGATCTTAAAGGTCTTTTCCAACCTAATTGACTCCATGATTCTATGAATGTTGGGTTTGGGTTCGATGAGCTGTTGACAGTTGTGAGGAAAGGCAGCATATTGATGAGCTGAGCTGTAGGGAGCCAGGAAAGGGACTGGCTTGGCTGAAAACTGTTGTTCATGTTTAGCTGGTATGAAATTGGAACCGAAGCACGCTGCAGATGTTATCTGTGGATTTCAGTTACTTCCTTGCTAAGTGTATCCATGAAAACCTTTACTGCTTTTCCTTTGTGTTTGCTGAATGGCATGAGTCAGATACTAAAGCCCTGACTTCAGGTTCCACCCTGGGATGGACCCCAACAAGGAAACGCCAAATAACTTGTAACAGAAAGCCACGTGTTTCCTGATGGATACGAGTGGCCGTTCCCTTCCAGCCCCAAATAGGGCTGTGCGGACAAGGCCATGGTGTTGCCTCTGTCTGTCAGATGTGGAGCACAAAGAACCTCAGTCTAAATCCTGCCAGGACACAGGGAACGAGGGCAGCTTTATTCCAATGTGCAAAGTGAACCTTTTTCCTCTGGACTTAAAAAAAACCATTATTTTGGCTGAACAAATGGAACTGACCTTTTTTATTAAAAACATCTATCTTCTGCCTGCTTCAGCAAGAGGCTTTTCAAGTTGAAAAAACTCCTTAACTTCAAACCAATGACTTAAGTCATTCCAATGGCATTTATCATCTGACTTTTTGCTCCTTAAATGTGGAGAGCTCGTAGCCTTTATTTTATCAAAGGAGAGCAGGAAGAAAAGTGACTCTAACCCTGTGTGCTCTTTGCACAGGTGGAGAGAGGCTGAGTCAGGGCAGTGCTGAGCCTGCTCAGTTCCTTTCTAAGTTGATGGGAAGATTCCCATTTGTTTCAGTAGGCGTTGACCTGCCCACAAGCTCACGCTTACGCCTGTTGAGATCCAGAGGAAGGATCGAAGGTGATGAGACACCAGTGAAGTGCAGTCTTCTTGCACGTGTTCACCATGACGGGAGCCATCCTCACAGGTTGTGTAAGAGTTGCTTCATTTCCAGGACATGAAAGAACACTTGTGCTTCCCCAGCTCGGTGTTTTCAGGTCTCCAGCGAGCACGTCCTCATGCTGGCTTTTTGTTTTCTTCCCTTGTAGTCTGGCCCAGCTTCCAACCAGGAACAAGCCCTTATTTTCTTTAGCTATTTTAGTTTGATTTAGGCTTAGCTGAACCTGGCGGAACTGCAGCTCCATGGGAATGTTTGTCTGCTGTTGTGCACAGAGACCTTGAAATAAACCCCCCCCCATTTCCTTAGATGGGATGGCAAAGGTTTCTTTGCCTGCCTCTACCTCCAGGAGATGGAGAGTGAAGATTTCCCCCCCCCTACCCCTAATTGACACACAAGTAATTCTTCTTCTTTGGTAAGTTTTGGAGTTATTTTTATTTGCTGTTTCCCCTCCCCCAGCTTTTTAGCCTTTTCAGTTTCTTTAGTTATCTTTTATGGGTTTGTTTTACTCTTGAAACCCAGCCACCGGGATGAGACACCATTCCAGCTATGATCCCAGAGCCCTGCTGCACAGGGATTACTGTGCGTGCCTTACATAAGGCAGCCCTGTTGACAGACACAAGGATTTTGGTGTTCACTAGCAGTACAATGTTGTTGGCTTGTGTTCAGCTTGTGACTAATTGTAACCCCAGCTCTTTATTTCTGCACAGCTGCCTCATAGGGACCAGGCTGAAGGAGATGGGAGAAAACGGGATTTTTCTGAATTGCTAAAGCATGCCTGCCTTTGGGATTGCGAGAATCCCGACCAGGGAGGAGCGTGGCTGTTGCTGGCACCTTGGGAAGGTGCTGCCTTCCCTCAGTGTGTGCTTGAGCCCAGAAGCACCCCGTGTGCTGGGCTGCACCCCCAGAGCGTGAGCAGCAGCTCAGGGAGGGGATCCTGCCCCTCTGCTGTGCTCTGGGGAGACCCCCCTGCAGTCCTCACTGAGCCACATGCAGTGGTTGAAGTGCTGTGTCCACGTGAGACTGCAACTTCCACAGAGGGCATGAGCATCAGTTTTCAGAATGGCTGTAGCCAGCATGACAGGGGCTTGTGGTTGCCTTCCCCATCTCTGCGTCATCGGCACGTTCACTTTGAGCGGCTACCTTAACCAGGTTAAAGGTACCAGGAATCCTCTCTGAGAAAGGCAAATGTGCAATTCCAATGCTAAATTATGTAAGTAGGACACTTGGAGCGTTAATTTTATGGTAAGACAGCCTCACAAAGCCTATTAAAGGGGACAGAAGGGGAGCAAAAGCAGTGGCTGTTGGTCCCTGGGGTGCTGGCAGCCGAGGCGGGTGGTGGAGGGGGTCCCGGTCCCTGGCTCTCACCGGGTGCCCTCTTCCCGCAGGTCTCTGTGCCGCCGGTGCCGGCCCCCAGCTCCAGAGCTGCGATGACGACTGGGGACTGCTGCCACCTGCCCGGCTCCCTCTGCGACTGCCCGGGGAGCGCCGCCCTCTCCAAGTCGGTGGAGGACTCGGACATCGGCCGCCCGCAGTACGTCACGCAGGTCACTGCCAAGGATGGCCGGCTCCTGTCCACCGTCATCAAGGCGCTGGGCGCGCAGAGGTAGGGCTGCTGCAGGGAAGGGCTTTGGCCTGACTCCAGCCGGGCTTTTCTGCTCCTGCTCCTGCTCCTGCTCCTGCGGCTCTAGGGGTAGAGGGAGGCAGCAGAGTGCTGTGGAGTTCTCCAGAGCGCTGATGTTGGGAGTCAGTCTTCGTTAGCCAGATGCTTCCCAGGACTGTGCTGTCTCTGTGGGAGCCCACACCCGTTCCATGTCCTGGTGGACCTGGGACTTGCACATTCATCAACCCCTTCCAGGCCTGCGGCTGCTCCAGCTGAGATGGGGCAGCCTCTGCCTGTGTGCCGCTGCCAAGTCCTTGCTGAGCAGCAGTGAAGGTGGGATGCCACAGTAGCAAGAGCAGTGTGGAGATGCTCTCTCCTGAGACCCCCTGCAGTCCTGCATTCAGCTCTTGGGCTACAACACAGGAGGGATGTGGAGCTGCTGGTGAAAGTCCAGAGAGGCCGCAGAGATGCTGCAAGGGCTGGAGCAGCTCTGCTCTGGAGACAGTGTTCAAGGCCAGGTTGCACAGGGCTTGGAGCAACCTGCTCTAGTGGAAGGTGTCCCTGCCCATGCAGTGGGGTGGAGCTGGGTGAGCTTTGTCCCTTCCAATCCAAACCAGTCTGGGATTCTGTGATTTAAGAGCTGAAAATGGAGCACAGCCTCTGTTTCAGGATGGTCTCGAAGTAAAAGTGTGGTGTTAATTTGCAGCCCCAGGGAAGGAGGGTGTTTGTGTTGCAGGAACCACAGTGCCTATTTATTGCCGGAGGGGACATGTGGCAGCTTCACTTGTTCACTCTTCTTGATGTGACTTCTCATCACTTGTTTTGAGCAGCTTCCAGAGCAGAGGACCCTTGGCAGCATGGGGCACTCCAGCCACTGAGACCAGGCACATTCTGTCTTCAGATCCTCTCTTAACAGCTGTTAGTTTGTTTTCAATGAATTTGGCCAAACGTTGATGAGGTGTGAAAGTGGTGACTGCAAACGTGGGGGAGGAGAGCAGGAACGCTAGAGGAGCACGTCATTGCTATATCTAAACCTGGAGCTGGTTGATAAGCACATGAGGGGAGCTGAGCTTCCTCCCTGACACCAGATAGGCTGAGTGAGAAGTTGTGCAACCCCTTAAAGCTTGTGGAGGTGTAATAATTGTGTGGGGAACCTGCCTGGTTAAAAAAATCCCACCAGGGTTCCTCATGTGTCTTGGTGGGACACCAGTTTGTTCATTTTGGTGAGGGTAGGTTTCAGTCTCTTACCCTTAACAGAATGAAGCCAGAAGCAGTGTGACTATACTGGAATGTTGAATTACTGATAGAGTCTCTACAGCCTGCTGGAAAACTGTGTCTGAGGGTGTTGGGATTGTGACCAGAACCTTCCCCTCTGGATAGGAAGGAAGGAAAATGGAGGCTGATAAGAAATTGTTTCTTGCAAGGTCAGCAAATTTTTTCCTTCTGGATTTGTTTCTTGGTAGCCAAGGTTATATTAATGCACTGGAAATATGAAACTTCTCAAACAGGAAGAGAAGGGATGAAATATCTTACAGATGCTTTTCTAAGGAAATAGCAGATGCATGAGAGCACTGGAGGCTTGGGGGTTCTTTTGGTCTGTCCCTGTCACTGGGGCCGTGTGAGGGGACTGTCATTTTGTCACTGATCCAGCCCTGAGCTTTATGGCAGTGGAGGGTGCAGAGTCATCAACTGATGCCAAGTTGGAACGGAATTCTGGGGGTCCAGCCTCCTGTCAGAGCAAGGCCAACTTCAAAGAGGGGTCAGGCTGCTCAGAGGCTTGGCTGGGGCACTTTTCAGTGTCTCTGAGGATGGGGTTTCCACCTCCTCTCCAGACTCCCATCGCAGGGGTTTTACTGGCTGAAGAAGTCCCCTAAATAAAAGCACATGTCAAGGAGGAGAGACCAAGGGTCAGTGGTTCACCAGGGATGTTTGGTAGGGAGAAGGGGATGGTGCAGTGCGTTTATGATGCCTCACAGCCCTAAATATGATTAACAAGCCCAACTGGAATGAAACCTGCTAAACATTGAATTGAAAGGGGTAGAGATAGGTTGAGATGCACATCAGCCCAGTAAAGGAGAAGCAAGATCCCTTTCCTGATGTATTTTCTTGCTGGCTCTTCTCTTCCCTTTGTGTCCCAGCAGCATTTTTCCTCAGTCCACTCCTTTTCTTTGCCCTGTTTTTCTGTGTCTGACTCTTGCTTTGCCTGGTTGTGCAAACTGATGGAGATGTGCTGCTGCTTGCAGACTGCTTGTTCTGACCAGTGTGTTGCAATCCCACAAAGTTCTTTTGCTGTCAGATGTGTTTTTAAAGGCAGTGGATGATGAACTGTGAGATGTGGGGCTTTTAGTACTGTCAGCAGTGTTTGGGAAAAGGTGACAAGAGACATAACTCACCTGGATTTCAAGAGGACATGCAATAGGGTGTTTGAAATACAGATGTCCCCTTCTCACTCTGCCTCCCACCCCAAATCTGTGCAACTATAGATGTAAAAGAATGGTTGTATGAAAGAAATGGTTGGTTGAAAGGTGGGAAGTGAGATAGAATCATAGACTCACAGCCTGGTTTGGGATGGAATGGACCTTAAAGCTCATCTCATGTCTGCCATGAGCAGGGACAGCTTCCACTAGACCAGGTGGGCTGGGGCATGCTGTGACCACTGTGGATCACCCAGCTTTGCTTTGGGCTTCTGGATTGCATCAGTGCTCCAGGGCTGGTTTCAGGTCAGTGTCTGAGCTGAGCTGGCCAAGCTGATGTGCCAGGTTGTCTTGGGTGCTGTGGTGCTCATCAGCACCATCCAGATTTTACTGACCTAAAACATCTCCATGCTCCCTTGACATGGGTTTCTTGCCTGGCACACTCTGCCATGTGCTGCCTGCTGTGCATGTGCCCTTCTTGGACTTGGTGGGCTCAGACCCATTCTCTGACGTGGCTGTATGGTTCTGCCTGCTCTGACAGTGATTTCGTTCTCTTTGTCTGCTCTTTAGTGATGGTCCCATCTGTCGAATCTGTCATGAAGGTGGAAGTGGGGAGGGACTGCTTTCCCCGTGTGACTGCACAGGAACACTGGGCACCGTGCACAAGAGCTGCCTGGAAAAATGGTTATCCTCCTCCAACACAAGTTACTGTGAGCTCTGCCACACAGAATTTGTTGTAGAGAGAAGACCAAGACCTTTGACAGAGGTACTGCTTCCTTCCTGCTTCACTTTGAGTTCCTTACCACTTGAGAGAAAATGATTTGCCCTGCTGTCCTTGTGGTTCTTGCTGTCTCCTCCTCCTCCTTAGCATCCACTCAGAACAATTTGTGTAGAGACATCAAGTCTCTTGTAAGACCAAGTGATGTTACTGGAAAAATGCAGTAGAAGTCTGGGGCAACTCTGTGAACCCCCGTGTGCCGCTCACCAGTGTCAGGCTGTAGGACCTAAGGCTCAGGTTAGAAGGGACCTTAAAGCTCATTCGGTCCTAACCCCTGCCACAGGCAGGGACCCCTTCCACTGGAGCAGCTTGCTCCAAGCCCCTGTGTCCAACCTGGCCTTGAACACTGCCAGGGATGGGGCAGCCACAGCTTCTCTGGGCACCCTGTGCCAGCGCCTCAGCACCCTCACAGGGAAGAGCTTCTGCCCAAGAGCTCAGCTCAGTCTCCCCTCTGGCAGGTTAAAGCCATTCCCCTTGGCCTGTCCCTACATCCCTTGTCCAAAGCCCCTCTCCAGCTTTCCTGCAGCCCCTTTAGGCACTGGAGCTGCTCTGTCTCCCCTTCAGGAGCCTTCTCTTCTCCAGGCTGCCCCAGCTCAGCTCTCTCAGCCTGGCTCCAGAGCAGAGCTGCTCCAGCCCTCGCAGCAGCTCCGTGGCCTCCTCTGGCCTCGCTTCAACAGCTCCACATCCCTCTGGTGCTGTTGCCCCAGCGCTGGATCAGGACTGAAGGAGGGGTCTCCCTAGAGCACAGCAGAAGGGGAGAATCCCCTTCCTTGCTTACGCTCTGGGGATGCAGCTCCATGACAATCCAGCTCTATCTGTGTGTGTTTAAAAAGCCTTCAGGAGGAGGGAGGCTGGGAGTTGCCTGTGGACTGGAGGAGACGTTTTTGTGGGAGTTGTGGGCAGTGACATGGTCGAGTTGAAATGCTTCTGCAGAGCTGCAGAAAGTTCTTGGAAGTCAGGAAATGCCACATCCAGAATTGCCTTAGTTTTTACTTCAGTCCTTTTGTATATCTGCATAACAGAGTGGTCTTGACATGTTCACAGGTTGGGGTGAAAGATGCCCACAAGCTAATGTGGTTTATCATGTGTGGCTGTTATGTGTTCTTGTACCCCTGCTCACAAGACCAAGGTATTCATTTCCCCGTGGGGTTTTCTGGGGCACCTATCATTGTGATACCCAGCAGCCTCCTTTAAGGAGGGAAGGCAGCCCCCTTGTTCAGCATGGATTAAAGAGAATTTTTTAGTAGAATTGGATTTTATGTTCTTTAAGCAGCCATTTATTTCTGTTGTGGTTTGTTCAATGTAAAAATAGTAACAGTGTTCTCTGCCAGCATCCTTGATCTCTGAACCAGGAGCTGGGGACTTGTCTGAGCCTGGAGCCAGCTCTGGCCTGGGCTATGGTGTGGGGAGGATCTCTCCTGCAGTTCAATTGTTTTTTTAGCTCAGAAGCTGTTTGAAAGCTGGAAGAAAAGCCCCACAGAAGGCTTTGGTTCCCTGTCAGGCTGCGAGGTGGATGGGCTGAGTGGTTTTTGGGGGCTTGTTTTGAACCAGTGCAGGTGGAGATGGAGAGTGGAACTGCAGCCACCGGTGCCTGAGCAGGGTCTGAGGCCAGCTCACTGTGCTGTGAAAGGACAGAGTGGCTGGCACAGTCTTTTTGACTGGCAAATACATTTCTGTGTTACCTGGAAGACTTCAGCAGTAGATATGCAGATGAAATGTCCAGGCCATAGGTTGCCGTGCATTCATGGTGCAGTGGGTTATTATTCTGTGGGAGATGCTGCTGCGTACAAGCAAAGGGAGTTTTGCAGGGAGCAACAGTGGTGATACTGCCATTCCTGCTTGTGTTATTAGGAGCAGAAATGTTGCCTCTGGGTGCCCCCCCTCCAGTTCAGAGAACTGAGCTGTGGTGGCAGCTCTCCCCCACCCTTCCTCCAGCCTTATCTTCTTTCCAGGCAGACTTTTCTGGGCTTTCCTTGAACTCTTCTGCTGAACTCCCTGCACCATTCTCTGCCTGGGCTGTGCTCCTCTAACCCATTCCCCAGCTTGGGTCTCTCTTTCCTCAGTGCAAGTTTGATTCCTCTGTCTAGTGAAAACCAAATCCCTCTTGGCTCCAGCTGAGTTCCATTCCTCTCTTGTCTTTTCATAGAACCACAGACTGGTTTGGGTTGGAAGGGACCTTAAAGCTCAGCCAGTTCCACCCCCCATTTTGCTTGCATTTGCTGTCTGGAGAGGCTCTTCTCAGATCCCACCCTGGATACTCGTGGTATTTCTTTGTGTAGTCCCTGGCTCTGCTCTGCAAATCTGGAACGGCCTCTTTGGGATCTATGCTGGAAATAATTCATCCCTGCACTCTTGGCACTTGTCAGCACCAGTCTCTTCCTTCCATGCCCATCGTCACCACTCTGCCCGGCCCTGTCTGCGCTCTGAGGATCTAGAGGACGTCCTGCTGGTCGGGTCTCTCGGAGGTGCAGCTCCTGGCAATGCCTTGATCTTATATTTGGACATGTCATGGCATTTCCTGTGGTGACATCAAGCACAGAAGCACTTGCTGCTGTGTAGAAAAGTGTCCTGGTGACCTGCAGTGCTGCTTGGCTCAGTTCCTCTCCTGTCCACCATTCCTAGCACTCATGCAGCTCCTGCTCTCCTTGGGCAGCAAGCAGCCAGCTCTTTCCCTTTAGCCTCGCACATGATTGCAGCATGGAAGCAGTTGTTATGTGGATTTGGCCTGGAAGAAGACCAAGTTGTGCTTTTGTTGCTTTCCCATGTTTACTTGATAGTTTTCCCCACACAAATTGTTTAAGCTGACAAACCACTTTATGGATTGTTTGGAAGGTTTGTTTTAATCCTGTATGCAGCAATGTGCTGCTGTGCCAGGAGCCCCGCGCCCTTTGGGTGCCTGATTGTGTTCTGGTTGTTACTGTGTCAGTGCATATTGACAAAGTAAATCAACTACTTCAAAAGGAAATTAATTTGCTTCCTGCCTTTACATGTTGGCTCCCATCTTGGGGAGGAAGAAAGAGTTTCAAAGTTCACAAGGAATATAAATAGAATAACATGCAGTGAAATACCTTTCTGCCTTCAGTCCCTGAGATTCTTCCAGAGGAGGCCACGAGGATGTGAAGGGGCCTAGAGATGAAGACAGACTGAGAGAATTTGGTTTGTTGAGCCTGGAGAGGAGAAGCTGCGTGAAGACCCCACAGCAGCTTCTAGTGTCTGAAGGGGGCTACAAGGATGCTGGAGAGGGGCTCTTCATCAGGGACTGTAGTGACAGAACAAGGGGAAATGGGTTCAAACTTAAACAGGGGATATTTAGGTTAGATATAAAGTAGAGGTTCTTCCTGTGAGGGTGCTGAGGCGCTGGCACAGGGTGCCCAGAGAAGCTGTGGCTGCCCCATCCCTGGCAGTGTTCAAGGCCAGTGACCCTGTGCCTCGTACATCCCTCACTTTAGTTTGCTCTGACTTGTGTGCACCCTCCACCCTCCCCTTAGGTCAACACTTTCTGGCCAGCCATGTGCTCAGCATACCTGTGCTCCATTTTGACCTGTGTGGCCTTACAAATTTCTTGCATACCTGCCACCAGCCCTTGTGTATTGCTGTTTAAACTCTGGTTTCCCCTGTCGAGAAGGAGCTTTGTGTGCATAGCTCTCAGGTGGGTCCTTTTTCATCCTGCCTGTTCAAAAGTGGGCACCAGGGCTGGCAGTAAGATGTGCCTGGCTGCCACGGGGATATTCCCTGCCCTGCTCTGACTGTGCCTTTTCAACCGTGTTCTCTCTCTCTTCTTATTTATTTGATTAGTTTTCAATCTTAATAGAGACCAGTCATCCTTGTGCAGGAAAGAAGGAAGGATCCAGCAGCCCATCCAGTGTAAAGAACTCTCACTAGGAATGGGCTGTAACAGCCCTGGGTATTGGTAGGAACCACAGAAAGCACTGTTCTAAAAAAAGGAAAGGAAAGGCTGAAAATAGCAAAATCCCAGGAAAACTAGGACAATTTCTGCTATTAAAGTCAAGTAGCTAAAATGACTCCACAGTGGAAGCAGGTCGGGACTCCTAAAAGTAGTTGAACATTTAGAGGTTATGGGTTGAGGGAAACCTTCCTGCAACAGAGCTTCCTCAGTTCTGCAGCCTGCTGATTTTTGAGAGCTGCAAAGCTTCTTGGTAGCACAGAGCAAAGTGCTGCAGATCATTTTGTGCCTGGGAGGCAAGAAAGCAAGCCTGAAAATAAGAAGGAATACACAGAATGGGCTCTCCTACAGCTTGGTCTGGCCACAGACCCCAGTGCCCTGGTTTCCCATAGTCCCTACACCAGTTGCAGAGTCCTGGATATGTTTTTGTTGAAGCTTAGTCCAAGACCTGTCAGGCCAGGTTGGATGGGGCTTGGAGCAGCCTGCTCTGGTGGAAGGTGTCCCTGCCCATGCAGTGAGGTGGAGCTGGATGAGCTTTGAGGTCCCTTCCAACCCAGACCATTCTGTAATTCTGTGATGTTCTTCAGCTGTCTCTTCCCTTTCCCTCGCTGGTTGTTGTTACAAATACCCTTGCCACTCTCTATTTTTGTTAAGGTTTATGTGCGTCCATACAGACTGCAGAGAGCACATCAGAGCTCACCACCGTAGCAATCCTGTTCCGCTTGCAGGCTACGTGCTCCGAGTGCCGCTGCCTAATGCCCTCTTCCCCTTCCCTCCTGCAGTGGCTGAAGGATCCCGGTCCCCGCAATGAGAAGAGGACACTCTTCTGTGACATGGTGTGTTTCCTGTTCATTACTCCCCTGGCTGCCATCTCGGGCTGGCTGTGTCTGCGTGGAGCCCAGGATCATTTGCAGTTCAACAGCCGGCTGGAGGCCATCGGACTCATAGCACTAACCATAGCACTTTTCACAATCTACGTCCTTTGGACGCTGGTAAGTGGCTGCTGCCCAGGGCCTTGTTTCTGTTCAGAAGGGAGATGAAAGTCCTGGCTCACCCCATGTTCCTGCCTCCCCCTGGGAGAAAACCTTGGGCTCTTTCTTTTGAAGGTCCATTTAATTTACTTCAAATAGGAGCTGCTTGCTGAGAATGAGAATCCACTTCCTGATGATCTGCTTTCCAGATTGACACAGGAACAGTGCTCCCCGGGGTGTCATGTACCAGGGTGCAGAGCTGGGTGGGAAGATCTGGTGCTGGGGGCAGGCAGTGCTCCAGTGGTGGTGCCTGTTCCTGTTTTCTAGAAGAAACACAGAATTGGTACCCATCTGGAAAATGTTTAACCCCCTAAATAACAGATCCCTAAATATTAGGCCCTCTCTACCCTGCTCTTGTGGGCCCCCCCCTGCAGTCCTGATCCAGCTCTGGGGCAGCAGCACAAGAGGGACGTGGAGCTGTTGAAGCAAGGCCAGAGGAGGCCACGGAGCTGCTGCGAGGGCTGGAGCAGCTCTGCTCTGGAGCCAGGCTGAGAGAGCTGGGCTGGGTCAGCCTGGAGAAGAGAAGGCTCCTGAAGGGGAGACCTGAGAGCAGCTCCAGTGCCTGAAGGGGCTACAAGAACCCTGTCTAACGCTTTTCCAGCTGCTTGCTGGGAAGCATGATTTTGGGAAGGGAAGGGCAGAAGTGCAGCCCCTGGAGGAGGAGGAGTTGGACCCCAAACTGCTGGCAGGAGAAATGCCACAGCCCATTTCCCTGCCATCTCATGCTCTGATTTCTCAGAGCAGCACCTTCCCCTGGGGCCGGGATGGTCCTTGGAGCTCTCCTACACAGACTTGGGTGCCAGGAGAGGGTAAGCTGGTGTTGCAGCCTTCACTGGGGACTGCCGGTTGCAATGGGTGCCTGATGAGTGCTGCTGTCAAAACATGCTGTAACTGCAGTGCACAGGGAGCTGTTAAGGGAAGTCTCATGTACGTGCTGCAGGAGGTTCATTTCTGTGAAAGCTAAGCTAAAACTGGAAACCTTAAGAGGAAGTGCTTCTGTGTCCCAGGACTGGTCTGGAGGAGCTGGAAATCTGGCTGAAATGGAAAAACTGGAGGGTTTTCTAAAGGTGCAAGTGCTGACTAAAAGGGCTCTAGTTCTGCTGAGCTTCACATTCCCTTGAACAGAGAAGGACATGAAGTGAAGCCCCTTTATTCACATTTACCATGGACCGCAGCTCTTCCTGTGTGTAATAGGAATACTGGCTTTTCCTTGTCAGCTACTCTTCCTACTTGCTAGGCAAATGTTTCCTGTACTCTTACAGAGGATGAAAGCTTGGTTTTGACAAGTTGCTGACTGGATTCAGTATTTAATTCTCTTGCTCATAATTTGTAGGGAAATAAATAGGAGGGAAATACATGTTCGCTTTGTTCCTTCCTCCAGAAACTCTAGGCAAGTTTAATTTCAAAGCTAAGGAGTCAGCAGGAGCTGTGAGACAAGCGGCAGTGGTGGAAAGGATGCTGAAGGACACAGGGAGGAGCCCAGCCTGCTGGGGAAGCACAGCTCGAAGCTCCCCCTTGCAGGGCTGCTCTAAAACTGCAGCCTCTCGTTCAGGTCCCTTGGGTCTTCGCATTCTCTCCCGGCCAAGCGAGTCCAGCCGCTGTGCTGTTGTTATGGATCAAGGGGAGACGGTTGCAAAGGGCAGAGAAGACCCAGCAGGATCTGTGAGATGGGAGGAGGCTGTTTGGGTTCAGACACGTGAGGCTGGCCCTATTGAGAGCCCCTTGTTTTGCCCAGACAAGGCGCTCACTTCAGCCTGTGGCCAGCGTGAAGCTGTGGTTCCTCCCTGCCACTCTCACCAGCCTGGTACCCAAACTGTCCCTCTGCCCTGGTGCTGCCCAGGGGGTTGGAACTGGAGGAGCTGTAAGGTCTCTTCCCACCCCAATTCCACGGTTCTGTGACAACCCTTCCAGTGCTGTCTCCTTTGGCGGGGGATGCTGGTGGTTTGGCAAGGAATACTCGGAGAGCGGACGGGTGACCGGGTCTCTAGAGCCGCAGCCGCGGGGCCGGGGTTTGGTGACCCTCCTGCTGCGTTGTCCCCCCAGGTCTCGTTCCGGTACCACTGTCAGCTGTACTCGGAGTGGCGAAGGACCAACCAGAAAGTCCGTTTGATGCTCCCGTCCTCGCGGAGCCCTCACCCCGTGCCCCACTCCCTCCTCTCCGCCAAGCTCATGAAGAAGAGCGCGGATGAAACCACGGTGTGAGCCCGTCCTGCCTGGCTGCTGGGCCGGGGCAGCCCTGAGGGCTGGCACGGGCGAGGAGGGCCAGGTGTCCCCACGTGCACACAGGAAACGTGGCAACTGTGGAGGCCCTCGGGAGCAGTCATCCCCCCCAAAGGACTTTGCAGCCAGTGTGTACTTTATACCGTGGCAAACAGACAGAGAATTGATCACTGTCATGTGAAATGGCCCAAAAGAGCCAGATGGTAGAACGTGCCTGTCTGCAGGGACACTTTCCTATAACTCAATACCATACGTGGAAAATATCTCCCTCTCTATATATATCTCTATATATAATATTATTTTTTAATGGCCATGCATATTGTGTTCCAGTCCTTTTGTGTTGATGTTCTAAGCTTCAGTTCTAGAAGCTGGCAGCCTGATCTCATTCAGAGGTTAAATCTATGCCTTTTCTCCAAATGAGCTTACAAAGAACACTTTGAAGAACATTGATGACAAATCCCCTTCTCCTTTGCACTAAGTTGGTTTTGATAATCCTGCAGCAGCCTTTCCCCTTCCTCTGGTCTCTGTCGTGCTGTTTCTGTCCTTTCTAGAAAGTTGTGTGTTTTTAAGAGTTATTACAATCCCAGAAGGAGTAAAATGACGCAGTTCCGAGCAGAGCCATTTTGTATTGGAAAGTATTGGAATTCTGAGAATTTCACAGCACGTTTCAAAGTGAGAAAAGCTCTTCCTGTGCAGACGTGATCTCACAGAACACTTTCCTTGCGGATCCTGGCTCATCCCCAGGTCTCGGATGCACTCAGCTCTTGCTGTGTCTGGCAGAGGTAGATGGAGGGTCTGAGGGTGGGAGGTGATGGCTCGGACGTGCTAAACCCATTATTGCCTTCTGCTGTTAAGGTTCCAAAAGGAGCTTTCCTGAGCCCAAAAGGGGCAAGCTGGAGTCTCTGTTTGCTGATGTCCTTTCACCACCTTGAGGCTGGACCTCTCGTAGTGCTGGTTACACACTCCCCTCACAGGACAGGCCCTCACTGCAGCCGCTTGGCAGGATGCGGCTGGGCTCTGCTGTCTCTGTGCTTCATTTGCACATTCCTCAGCAGCAGCTGGAGGAGCTGCTGTCATTGGGATCATCCCTGGAAGTGCTCTGCCTGTTGCGTGTCCTCCGGTGAAACACCCCGAGAGCAGGGAGGAGGCAGGCTCCAAGGTGCCCGTGTCCTTCAGGGGGTGGTGGCAGTCACAGACTGCGTCCCGCTGCTCCTTTGCTGGGCACAAGCAGCCCAGCTGCAGTTACAGCCCCTGCACAGCAGCAGAAGCCTGCTTCGAACTGGCTTGTGCGGTGGAGCTGCCACCTCCACACACACCAACCACCCTTTGGCAGTGGAGCTGCGCCACTGCTCTGTGCCTTGTCCTGGCTGCTCCTTCCTTCAGCAACTCCCCAGCAACCCCCTGGCACCAGGACATTCCCAGTGAAGAGAGATGTGGGGGGTTCGTTTCCTTCCCACCCCTGCTGTTCCCAGGAGCTTGGCCTCGCACCGTGTCTGGTTCTGGCAGGTGATGAAGGATGCGCACTCCCAGAGCACGTTCCCCTCGTAAGGACTCTCTGAAGCCAGTGTTTCTCCCTGTGGATCACTGTGATCCACTCACTGTGGATCCAGGTATGAACTGTGAAAGGCAGAAGTCCCTGGCTGGGGGCAGCAGGGGCCTGGCCCGGTGCTGCTGCATGGCCATGGCTTCACTCGCAGCTTCGTCCTCTTCCTCAGTAACTGGAGTTGTTGCTTGTGCCCCTGCAGAACCCAGCAGCGGCTCCTGGGGTCTTCTCCTCCTTCCCAGAGGAGATGCTCAGCTCTTGGGGGTGGGAAATGAGTGTCTCTGACCTGCCACATGCCAGTGTCATGGGGAAACGGGCCGTGCAATTGAGTCAATAAAAGTGAGACAAAGCTTGGGCTCTTGTGTTGTTACTGGGGATGGAGGGGCCTTTACCTGTGTTCTGCTGTGAGGAATGTGCCTATTGCACGAGTTCGAACTGGAAGTAAGGAGAGGCTCTGGATGTATGGAGGAGATAACGGTTATCAGCAGCTCCAGCATCCGGCTGCGTTTGGGTTCTTTTAATGTAACGATTAAGCTTAGTTGGAAAGAGCCAGAGGCAGAGCCCAGCACCCGCAGAGGAGCCTGGACCTGCTCGTGGCCTTGTACAGACCACTCAACGCCCCTCCTCTGTCCTGGGCTGCCTGGCACCAGGCTCGGTGCTCCCGGTGGGCTCCGCAGTGCCAGCGGGAACGGGCGCTGGTGCCCACATCCAGGACCTGCCCGTCCTCCGGCTCCGTGGCGGAGGAGCCACGTGAGGAGGAGCTGGCAGGGCTCAGGGGCTCCAGCGCCAAGCCCCGGGTGATGGCGTTCTCCTCTCCAGGCCTCCGCGCGCGCTCGCCCACGTCAGGGCCGCAGCTGGAGCCACGAGTCCGTCCCCACCCAGAGCCAGGGCCGCAGCCTCTCCCCGGGCCTCGAATCCAGGCGGAAGGCAAAGATGGGGGCCTCGGTCTCGGCATCGGCAAAGGCCACCTGCCCGCCCGCCAAGTCCAGGCACACCCGGATGGCCCGGGGGAGGCAGGGGAGGTGCAGGGGCGTCCAGTCCGGGTCAGTGAAAGCAAAGTATTGTCCAAACCACTGCCCCACGGCCCAGATTCCCTCCCGCGGGGTAAAGCCGAGGACCCCTTTCCTCCTGACGGACTCCTGCGCCACCCCCAGGGCCCACCACTGACCCCCCTGGGCCACCTCCACGGCCCAGCAGTGCCTCCCCACCGCGAAGCCCTGGGCGCCCAGCACGCACGGCTCCGTGTCGAAGCGCTCGGCCGTGGCGGGCGCTGGGCTCCACTCGTCCCCGCGGCTCACGCCTCGCCCGTCGGCAGCCAGGCGGAGGAAGGGGTTGGCGCTGTCCGGGTCCAGGCTCACGGTGCCTGGGGACGGAGGAGGAGAAGATGCTCAGGACCGGCAGCCCCAGGGGCTGCATCCACCCCAGCCGGAGCAGGGACGCGGCGATTTCCTCCCCCCGGTCAGAGGTGTCCAGTGTAGGGCAGGAAACCCCCAAATGCCGGCCTGCCCCAGCCTCGGTGGTGCCCTGAGCCTCATCCAGGAGCTTCCAAGCGACCCCTGGCCAAGGGGACCTCGGTGCCCTGGAGAGGGGTGCACGTGAGTGGATGGGTGCCCATCCGCCCTGTAGATACCTGCACCTGAGCTTGGGCGTCTGTAGGGCTGCGCACCTGGGCCCAAACCAGTGCAGGTTGTGGACAGCATTACCCCAAACCCCACAGCCCCACATTCCCATTTCTTCCCATAGGAAATGCAGAGCCAAAGGTGCAGCTGAGGTGTCTTTGGTGCTGGTGGTGGGTCTACACTTAAGCATGGGGAATTCAGCTGGGGCTTATTGCCCCAGGGCACACCCAGGTTGGGACAAGCCCCAGGTGCTCTGATCCTAAACAGCTCTTCCACGAAGAAGCAGGATGTGTTTTTCTCCTCAACAGAGGACAGTTCCCCCTCCTTTCCCCTTCTGAAAACTCACCTCTTCCACTCATCTCCTCCACCTCCCCGGGCAGGGGCTCACTCTCTTCTCTCTCCATCCCAGCTTCAAGCAGGTCTGAAGAAAAGCGCCAGGAGGGGAGGCAGGATTCCCTGTTGCCAGTGGGAATTGCGGGACTCAGAGACTGCTTAAAGGTGATAACGAAGGAACGATGGGAAACCCAGAGCATCCAGGCGCTTACCTGTAGGCAGACTCCAGGAAAGGAGGGTTTGGGTGCGTCTGAAGGCTTCAGCCTGCTCTGCACAGCCCCGCTCTCCCCACGGCGGGGCTGGGCTCACCCCGCTTGTTTGATGGAGCTGATCTGAGCGCAGAGGGGCTGGGGGCCTGGGGAGCTGCGCTGGGGGCTGGCGCCTCCTCTCTGGGGAGGGGCAGAGCTTGCACCTCCCCTCCTCTTGGCCACCACTTCCCATGCCCCGAGGCCGCCGGACCTCGTCCAGCTTTGGGATGTGGGAGCCGCGGCAGGGCCCGGGCCTGTTTGCATCGCGGGAGCCGCTGCATCTGCCCTCCCTCGGCAGCTGCCCCGGGTGATAAGAGCCGGGAAGAGGCCGTATCTCCCTGCAGCAGGGAGCCCAATGGCACCACGTGCACCTCCAGCCCCTGGGATGTGCCGTGGGGACAGCAGGCACAGAGCTGGAGCCATGCTCTGGGGTCCGGATGCGATGAGGGAGGATGCTCTGCAGTGGCCTCGGGCCGGGGCAGTGGGGTCCAGCTGCAGGAACAGCAAAACCGAGCTCCTTCCGCTGCCTTTAATCTCCGTGCCTGGCCTGCGCTGCGGCTTCCCCACAAGTGCCCGAGCTGCCCCAGCCACCCCTGCTGCTCCCGGCAAGCCGGGAGGATCCCTCGCCTGCACCCAGGCAAGCGGCGGAGGCAACGGGCAAGAACGGTTCCCAAGGGAGACGCAGCGAGGCCGTGCCCCCAGGCTGAGCTGCCTCAAGAACCAGAGCCCAGAGCGTGCTCGGGAAGAGCTGCCTCGAGGCAGGGGAAGGGGAAACGTTTGGGGAAGGGCCCCTTTTCCCTGGGGGTCAGAAGGGAGCGGGTGGGGTGCAGGGGCTCCTCCTGGGGCACAACCTCCCCCTTCACTGTGCACAAGCAAGAGATGAGGGAGCTGGTTATGGAGGAGACTGCTCCCGGCAGACGGGCACGGCCGGAGATGGGCTTGTGCTGCTCAGGAAGCCGCCGGTTCCTGCCCGGGGCTGTGGGTGCTGATAGAGGCCAGGGCAGCCCCTGCCACCAGCGCGGAGCCTGGCCCTCGGGAGGCAAAGCAGCAGCAGCAGCAGCAGCGCAAGTGCTGGAGGGTCCGCGGGTGAGTGCTGGGGAAGCCGCTTTCGGGGAAGGCAGGCTCCTGGCGCAGCCACGTCCGTGCGGGGGAAGCTCCTGCCCCGGGGACCCGGACCTAGCAGGGGGCTCAGGTGGAGCCGGGGAAAAGGAGCTCGAGGGAGGCTCCTCCAGCACAGAGCTCTCTGGGATGGGACGGGACGGGACGGGACGGCTGCGGGGATGCGAACACCACAGAGCCGCTGGCTCTGCAGTGGTGCTGGCACAGGGCACGTTCCTGCTGTGCCCACGCCTCCCGGCTCTCCCCTCCAGGCCATGCAGCTCCCTGCCCTGCTCCTGCTCCTGCTCCTGCTCCCAGCCGGCACCTCCGACCCCGGCCAGCCCTGCCCGGTGGAGATGAACAAGGTCAAGGACCTCCTGGAGGTGAACTGCACCGGGCAGGCTCTCAGCGCGGTGCCCCCGGGGCTGCCTGCGGACACGGGCATCCTGCTCCTGGGCTCCAACCGCCTGGTGTCCGTGTCCATCGCCTCCTTCCCGCCGCGGCTGCAGGACCTCGACCTGTCCGAGAACGGGCTGGAGGCCCTGCGCGCCGGGCCCCCGCTGCCGGCCCTGCGGGAGCTCCTCCTGTCCCGCAACGCGCTGCAGGCGCTGCCCGCGCTGCAGGGGCTGCCGGCGCTCTCCCGCCTGGCCCTGGGCCACAACCGCGTGGCCGCGCTGCCCCCCGGGGCCTTCCGCGCCGTGCCGCGCCTGCAGGACCTGGACCTGCGCGGGAACCGGCTGCGGACCCTGCCCCCGGACGCCTTCGCGGGGCTCGGGGCGCTCAAGGACTTGGACATCTCCGACAACGCCCTGGAGGAGCTGCCCCGGGAGCTGCTGCAGGACCTGCGGCGCCTCGAGACCCTGTGGCTCTCGGGGAACCGCCTGCGGAGCCTCCCCAGCGGCTTCTTCCCCGAGGGGCAGCTCTTCATGTACGTGTTCCTCACCGAGAACCCCTGGCACTGCGACTGCCGCCTGCACTACCTGCGGGGCTGGATCCGGCGCAACGAGGGCAGCGTCTACCAGCCCGAGCGGGGCCTGGAGAAGACGAAGGTGGAGGTGGCCCCCGAGCGGGTGCTGTGCCACAGCCCCCCCGAGCACCAGGGGAAGCCCATCATCCACTTCAAGCCCAACTGCGGCAACGTGGGGGACGAAGAGGAGGAGGAGGAGGAGGACTACGGTGACGGGGAAGAAACGGCAGAGGAAGCTGCCAAGGCCGCCGGCTCCCCCCCACACTCACCCATCCCCACAGGCAGCACCGCCGTGCCCCGTGCTGTTACCGGGCCTCCCCCCGCCACCCCCAGCCCTGCACCCACAGACCCCAGCGCTCCCAGCACCGCCAGTCCTGCCCCGGCCAGCGCCACCCTCACCCCCCCCCCGGCCCCCGGCACCGCCACCGCTGCTCCTGCCCGCACCCCGCACCGAGCCACCACCTCGCTGCCGACCCCCATGGCGGCCACCGCAACATTTCCCACCACCCCCATGGCTCTGCCTGCTCCGGCCGTGCCAGAGGCCTCTTCCCTGGCCACATCTTCATCTCCCCCGCTGGTGTCAACCACACCGGTGGTCACCGCCACTCACACCCCGGGCACCGCAGGCTTCACGCAGCCTGCACCTTCCCCTCCGCCTGCGGCCCTGCCCCTGTGTCCCTGCCCCACGGCCGGGCTGGAGGTGCCGGTGCTGCGCTCGTGGGCAGCGGGGGATGCTCTGCAGGGCGGGCACTGGGTGCTGGATCACTGCTGCCTCTTGCACTGGGTGCTCTACCTCGCCTGCTTGGCTCTGCTGGCGCTGACCGCGCTGGCCCTGGCAGCCTGGCTGTGCCTCGTGGGGTGGCCCTCCTGGCACAAGTCCCTGCAGAGCCGAGAGGTTCCGTACCTGCTGCTGAGGCGGAGGGAGGCGGCAGGAGGCCCCGTGAGGCCCCTCAGCAGCCCCAGAAGCCTCCTCCAGCACACCCGGTTCTGCACCATCAAAGAAGTGCAGTTGTACCCGCAGGTCACTTACTGCACGATTAAAGACCTGGGCACACAGTGCAGTCCTCCGGCAAGCTCCTTCTGCACCACGAAGGAGCTCTGGATCCACCAGAGCCCTCTGAAGGCTTCACTCAGGTCCCTCTCCAGGAAGCTGATGGTCACAAACCTCGGCTCCCTGAGGACCCCTCCTGCTTACAGCCTGGACAGGGGCCTGGAGGCCATCGGTGATGTGAGAGTCAAATACGCTGGCAACACCTTGTAAATGCTTCCGTTCGGCAAGAGGTGGAGGGTCCCGGCTCTGCTTCATGGGCCCCTCTTCTACAAGGGCAAGCTCTGCCTGCCCAGGGAAAGGCACCCAGCTCTTCCCTCCAGCGTCACCCTCACAGCCCCGAGGTTTCTCGAGCTGAAACCATTACTCAGGTACCTGCCGTGGGGAGGAGATGTCCTGAACTGGTCAGTGAGTGTCTGGGGCTGCCTCTGCCTGGGGAGTGTGGGACAGCAGAGCTTGCTTTGTGCTCTGCCTCCCGACTGCTTCTGCTCAACCGGTGCACATTAAAGCTGCAGGATGCTTCCAACTGGGTGCCAGGCTCTTAATCACAGAATAAATATTCCCTCTGCCCAATTTCACGTGGCTGCTGGCTTCGTTGGTCACAGTCCTGCCAGGGTCCAGTGAAGGACAAAACTGGCTTCAGTAGTGAAGACAGAGAGGAAAGGTCCACTTAAAACCAGCTTCCTACAGGGGCCAGCAAGAAACCTGGAGAGGGGCTTTGGACGAGGGGAAAAGGCTTTAACCTGCCAGGGATGAGCTCTCCTGCTCTGAAGGGCTGGAGAACAGACAGGTACAAAGTGGTGTGAAAGTCAGGTTGCCAATGGATCATAACTCTTCCTGGATGGTGTTAACCTGGAATACAACACGTGGGACCGTGCTGGAAACTCTTCTATTTAAAGTCCTTATCAGTGCCATGGAGGAGGTGACTGAGCGCGTTTTTATCCCACTGGCACATGGAGCAGGCTGGGAGGGATCTGAGCGTGCTTCCAACGGGAATACCCTTCAAGGGAGCACCGCTCACCCCGGGGCTGGCAGAAACCTGGGGAAAGCCAGCAGGGAGCAAGCCCTGCACCCTGGAATGAAGGGCACAGCGGGGCAGTGGAGGACAGGCTGCGTGGGGAGCGGAGCTGGGGCAGAGGGCTCCGGGTCCTGGTTGGCAGGAAGGTGGAGGAGGCCCAGAAGTGCCCCCTGGCACCGCAGAGGGAGAACAGGAGCCTGGGCCGGGGGAACAGGGCAGGGGCAGGGGCCTGCGGGAAGCGCTTGTCCCCTCTGCTCAGCGCTCGTTTCAGACCACATCTGAACCACTGCTCTGGGGAGCTGTGAGCTCAGGATCCCCCACGCACCCCAAGGTGCCTCTCACTGCCAAGGCACACGCACGGAACAGTGAGCACAGGCACCCCAGAGCCCTCGCCCCATCCCGGTGCCCCCTCCACCCACCCAGCACGCAGGGCTCCTGCTCTGCTGCTCCTTGTGAGAAGCACCTGGATGTGTGGGCTCCCCAGCAGAAACAAGATGACCCAGAGGGGCGGTTCCAGAGCCACTTTTATTCCACCCAAGTATGGGGGAGAACTGGGGGATCCCCATCTCCCAGTAAGGGCTCGGAGCAGAGAGTGAGTATCCCCGGAGGCACAGGGTTGCGGTGGGGGGGGGTCTGTCCCATGGGGTCCCCACAGTCTAGGGCACCTACCCTGGGGTGCGGCACTGCTGGAAACCACGGGGAGAACCCCTTCTGAAGGAGGGATCTGGGGGTGACTTTGTCCCACAGAGGTGCCCATGGAGGATACCGAGGGATGCCAGGGTACCTGGGGTGCAGAGCTTTGAAGCCTCCCTAAGCACTGTTGGGGGTTTCAGGTGACCTCGAGGGGTCCTCGAGGCAGCTGGGGCCACGCAGGGCAGGGGGGAGAGTGAGGACACAAGCTTGGAGCTCAGTGTAGGCATGGGGCAAGGTGCCCCGGGTGATCCAGCGCCGGGCACCGGGCTGGTAGGCATGGATCAGGTGGGTGTCCTGGTAGGTCTCATGGCTGTACCCACCCAGGACGAGCAGCTCCCCCCCCACCACAGCCGCACCCCCAACGACGTGGGCGCGGGGCAGGGGGCTGAGCAGGACCCAGGCGTCCAGCTTGGGGCTGTAGACCTCAAAGGCCAGCTGGTCCCTGTAGCCCGTCTGCCCGGCGCGCTGGCACAGCCCCCCCGCCACGTAGAGCTGCCCGCCCGCCTCCTCCATGATGTGCCCAGCCCGGGGGCCATTCATGGGGGCCAGGAGCTTGGCAGCAGCACCCGGGACGTAGCGCAGGAGGGACGCCTGGCACTGGGATGCCTCATCACAGCCCCCCGACACGTAGAGGGCACCATCCAGGGCACACGCCGCGTGCCCACACAGGGCCATGGGCAGGGGCTGGCACCGCCTGGGCGAGGAGAGAGGGAGGGGATGAAGGGAGGTCAGGCAGGGCTGCCCCATGGGGAGAACCCGCCAGGAGCCCTTCACTTGCTCCACTGAGCGCCCAGCAGGCAGCCTGGCCGGCACCAAGGAGCCCCAGCGGGCAGCATCAGCTCTCACACAATGGATGCCCAGGGGACATCACTCCAACACTTCACAGACTCCAAAAACCACTGTTGGTCAACCCACAGTGGACTCCCTCAATGGACGGTGTTGGCCAACACCCAAGGAACACAGCTGGAAATGGTCTGTCTTGGCCAAAAGCTTTTCCAGCACCCAGTAGGCGACGCAGGCCAACCCCAAGGGACACAGGTGCTCGACAGTCAGGAGACCTCTCCCAAAGGCCACTGTGGGCCATTTCTCCATCGCTGAACTACTCCATAGCTACTGCTAAACCCAGGCAAGGGGCTCCGTGGCCCAAAGACCACCCAATGGCCACCACTGCCAGCACAAGGGGTTCCTAGGGCCGAGAACAGCGAGTGCCTGCGCGGCGCGGCCTCACCTCCAGGTGTCGGTGGCCACGTCGTAGCACTCCACGGTGTCTGTGCAGTAGAGCTCCCCAGAGCTGCCCCCCAGCGCGTAGATGGAATCGCCAAGAGCCACGGCAGGGAAGTAGCTCCGTCCGCAGCTCATGCTGGCCAAGCGCTCCCAGGAGCCGTCCAGGGGCTGGTACCTGGGGGCAGGAGGTGACCCGTTACCTGCAGCGACATGAGGGACGCCGGCACCGCTGCGGGCAGCCAATTCCGGCATGCCTGGAGCCACGTGTGTGCCTCGCGTGGGAACATCCCCTCCTCCTGGGCAGCACCAAACCCACTGCATGCCCCCGTCCTCCCGGCCCTACCCCGGAAAGCTACAACAGCCCCGAGGGGGAGAGCACCCCCAGCGCTTCCCCCAACGGAGCCCCAAATGCCCTGGGGCCACTCCACCAAGTGCAACGCCACAGCACCCCGGGGCCGTGGGGCAGCACCAGCGCCTCCTCCGATCCCGCAGCGCGCGGTGCCACTCAGCGCCTCGCGGCTCTCACCTGTAGACACTGGCCAGGGTGTCGCGGACCCCGTAGTAGTGCTTTCCGCCCAGGATGTAGAGGGTGTTGCCCACCACCGCTATGGCGTGGCGGAAGCGCGGGCCGTCAGGGAAGTGCCCCAGCGCCCTCCACTCCACCTTCTTCACCAGCCCCACAGCGCTGAGGTAGCGGTGGGCGAACCAGAGGCGCTCGCTGGGCTTGCGGACGGCCAGGTTGGACGCCAGCTTTTCCCCACCGCAAACCACGACCACCTCCTGCAGGGACCGCACCCGACACGGCAGCTGGGCCATGGGGGCCAAGCTGGCCACTATGAGCTCCCGGACGACCTTTGGGTCCGCCACCCCTGCAGTCACCGACGGCACCTTCTTCAGCTCCCACGTGGACATGAGGGCGAAGCGAACAGAGGCCAGGACTTCCTTGGCCACATCCTCTTGGCCGTCTCCGTTGGCCAGAAGCCACCGGGACGCTGCTTCCAAAGCCTCCAGCTCGTGAAGGACGTTGAGAGCGTCGGAACGGAGGAGGCGGATGAGGACGTGCGCAGGGAGATCCAGGAAGGCCGGCGTGGCCACCACGCTGGGGAAGGTGGCCAAGATGTAGTCCTCTGCCACGCGGCTCACCTGGGCCAGCCCGTAATCCACGGCGAAGGCCAGGACGTCTGGGCCAGTGCCCGGGGTCAGGCCGCGGGTGAAGACATCCATGCAGAGCGTGAGGAGCCCCCAGGCCTGGTAGCGCAGGGAGGTCTCGGCTGCCTCCAGCACCGCGGCCCAGGGCCCGGCCACGGCCCCGGTGTAGGCGAAGGCGAGGAGCAGGCGCAGCTCGGCGGGGGACAGCCCCGTGGCCAGCGGGGCGGCGGGGTCGTGCGTGGCCTCCCGCATGGGGCACGTGAAGAGCGCGCGGAAGAAGTCGCAGGAGCAGCTCAGGGCCAGGCGCTGAACTGGGGGGAGAGGAACGGGGGGGGGGGGGGGGCAGCAGAGGAGCCCCCCAGCCCCGGCACCGAGGGGAGCAGCCCCATGGGCTCCTCGCCGCTGCCAGGGACCCGCCTGTCCCCGTCCCCACCTCAGGCCCCTGCTCACCTGCGATGACCTCGTCCCCTGCCTGGAGCTGGAGGTCGCAGCCCAGGCCCCTGGCGTGGAGCTGCCCCATGGCTCTGAGCGTCTCCCACTGCTCCTCCAGGGCCTCGGGACCCCCCTCCTGGGAGTCCCCATCCAGGCACAGGGCGCAGGCGGCCGCCACCCGCGGGGCCCCCAGAACCCGGGCAGCCTCCTCCACCTCCTTCCTGCGGCCGCGGGGCACGGTTCCGCCATAGGCAAAGGCGAGCACGGCCCTCCAGCCCCACAGCGTGGCCCCGGGGGGCAGGGGGACACGGGGCGGGGGGGCCTGGTGCTGCTCCCTGCTCCTTCCCTCCAGGAAGCGAAGGAAGAAGGAGCTGACGGAGGCCAGGACCACAGCGTGCGCCATGTCACCCTCTGGGCCCACGCACACGTCCACGAGCTGCCCCGTGGCGCGGAGGTCGTCAGCCGTGGCCAGGACGTGTCGGGCATGGGCCCTGTCCCACAGGTTCCACTGGGCCGGGGCCGGCCCCTCTGCAACCCACATCTTGCCTGCGGGAACACACGGAGCAGGGTCAGTGCTGAAAACCCATCCCATAGCCAGAGCCTCTGCCTGGGGACATGGCACTGCCCTGCACTGAGAGCCATGGGGTCCATTGCCAACGCCTCCACCCCATAGCTGCGGCCACCAGGCTTTGCTACTGCCCCACAACTGAAGCTGATGCCTCTTGCAAAAACTGCAGCCCCATGGGCGAGAGCAGAGGCCACGCTGCTGCCTTGTAGCTGAGGCTGGTGGCCCTCACCTGCCTCATGGCTGAACCCTCAGGATGAAGCCACCGACCCAAAGTGCACCCTGCAGCCCCACAGCCCCATCTCCCAGCGCGGTGCCCCCATCAAACCCCACAGCCCCATCTCCCAGCGCAGTGCTCCTGTCGAGCCCCACAGCCCCATCTCCCAGCGCGGTGCTCCTGTCAAACCCCACAGCCCTATCTCCCAGCGCGGTGCCCCCATCAAACCCCACAGCCCCACCTCCCAGCGCGGTGCCCCCATCAAACCCCACAGCCCCATCTCCCCGCCCGCTGCCCCCATCAAACCGCACAGCCCCATCTCCCAGCGCGGTGCCCCCATCAAACCCCACAGCCCCATCTCCCAGCGCGGTGCTCCTGTCAAACCCCACAGCCCCATCTCCCAGCGCGGTGCCCCCTATCAAACCCCACAGCCCCACCTCCCAGCGCGGTGCCCCCTATCAAACCCCACAGCCCCACCTCCCAGCCCGGTGCTCCCGTCAAACCCCACAGCCCCACAGCCCCACCTCCCCGCCCGCTGCCCCCATCGAGCCCCACAGGGGACGCCCCGAGCCCTTCTCCAGCCCCTGCCCCAGCTCCGGTGCCCCAGGAGCAGCGGAGCCTCCGGCCCCGGCCCCCGCCGCCCCCCGCCCGGGCGCCACCTCACGTGTCGCGTGTCACGTGTCCCTTGCCGGCCGCCGCCGCGTCCTTGCGTCGGCCCCGCCGTGACCCGCGGGCACGTGGCTCGGTAATTATAGCGCGGGGGGGCAGCCCCGCCCCCCCCGGGCCCCGCTCAGCCCCCGCCTGGGGGCGGGGCAGCCCCGTTGCGCGCTCCCGGGCCGGGCTCCGCTCGCACCGGGGGCCCCGGGCACCCCCAGCTCCGCCCTGCACCCCCCGCACGACCGCGTCCCCGGGGACGCCCCGGGCCCCTCCCTTCACACCTCCGCTCCCGCCCCACCCCTGCTTCCCCCGGCGCCCGCAGCCCCTCGCTCCCATCCCCGTACCCTTGTGTGCCCATGGGCCCGGCTGAACCCGTGTGCCCAGGGACTGCCCAGCCCTCCATCCTCCAGCACTTTCCACCCTGTCAGATGTTCTATTACTTCTCTGTAACTCCTATCTCTTCCTTCTCATCCTTTGCTGCGCTCCTGAGCCTGCCTCTTCTGTAACCATGAAGATGTTTCCCTTATTGTGTCCCTCAAGCCTGTGTGTGCAACATGGACACAGAGGCAACGGAACTTGTGCACAGAAACCACAGAATCCCAGCCTGGTTTGTGTTGACGGGGCCTCAAAGCTCATCCAGCTCCAACCCCTGCCAGGCCCTGGTCCAAAGCCCCTCTCCAGGTTTCCTGCAGCCCCTTCAGGCACTGGAGCTGCTCTCAGGTCTCCCCTTCAGGAGCCTTCTCTTCTCCAGGCTGCCCCAGCCCAGCTCTCTCAGCCTGGCTCCAGAGCAGAGCTGCTCCAGCCCTCGCAGCAGCTCCGGGGCCTCCTCTGGCCTGGCTCAGCAGCAGCAGCAGATGAAGCTTCCCCTCCAGCAGCTGGGCAGCCCCAGATTTCTGTGATTCCAGCTGTTGATTTGCCAGCATCTTTATTCCACAGAGCCTCATTCCACAGAGCATTCCCAGGAGAGCTCACAGGGCAAGGCTACAGTCACAGCTTGGGAGGTCCCATCAGCCTCCAGCCCTCCTTGTTGCCAATCTTCATGAGGGCAGCAGTGATCCCAAGGCCCAAACAGGACATGGTACCGGTGAAGTAATTGTGAGCTGGAAACAACACAGCAGAGCAGAAAAGACCTCTTAGTGCACAAGTTCTATCCAGGAGATCGTGACAGACTCATTCTTCTATCACTCTATCTTCTGCTCACAGCCCCTTGAGCCTCAGGAACGCCGTTTGCCAAGAGAAACCACCTGGATTTACATTTTCTCATGCTTTTAGCTTCCAAATGGAAATACCAATTCCTCCAATCCGCCCCCCATCTCCTTCCACAGGCAACCTCACATCGTGCACCTCAGTGACACAACCAGCAATCCCTGCTTCCGTCTCCCATCAGCTCAGCAACCAGGAAAAGTAAGGATCGATTTCATCCCAACTTCAGCGAATGCCTCCCACCTTTAACAGAGTCTGAATGCTGGAGAAAGCAGAGCTGGCCAAGCACTGCAGGGGCTGATCTAGCCTGAGAGCAGCAAGATACAGCTTGTCCCCCAGAGCAGGGCAGATGTCAGAACGTATCTTCAGGTAAAATAAAGCGCGTTTGTTCCCAAGAACACATGGATTTCCACAGTTCCTTCTTCCATACCCTGCAGTTTCACGGTAGAACTGACAGTTATAACCAGCAGGACTGGGCCAGCTCTGCTCATTCTGTAAACCAGGCTGATGTTACCTCTGGTGCCACTCTGCAGCAGTATTTACTTCAGCAGACTCGTACAATGGAGCATCAACCAAACCGGCACGGAATGAACTCAGAGGGGGAGCTGACATCAGGATTCATTGACTTACTTCTTGCCCCAATGATGGCTCCTGAGGCACAGCCTCCTATGAAGTAGTTCAAGGGGTCCTCCGGCTTCTCCCGGATCTCGGCACTGAGGCAGGTCGTCACACCAAACACGGCCCCCAGCGTGGCTGCAAGCGAGAGGCAAAACCCCACGAGTGAACCCACCAAAATCCCGAAGGAACCGAGGGCACACGAACACCTCTGTGTCGGGCACGGGGCGGCACGGCAGGAAAGAGGGAAACGGAGCAAGATCTGCTTTCAGTTACCCGCGGGCATCACGTTCTGGCTGCTGTGGTGAGACTGAGCATTACACAAGGCCCCTCCGCTCCCTCCCGGCCATCACCTGGATCATGGAAGGCTTTGAGCTGAAGGCACCTTAAAGCTCCTCCAGCTCCAACCCCTGCCAGGGCAGGGACCCCTTCCACTGGAGCAGCTTGCTCCAAGCCCCTGTGTCCAACCTGGCCTTGAACACTGCCAGGGATGGGGCAGCCACAGCTTCTCTGGGCACCCTGGGCCAGCGCCTCAGCACCCTCACAGGGGAGAGCTTCTGCCTAAGAGCTCATCTCAGTCTCCCCTCGGGCAGGTTCAAGCCATTCCCCTTGGCCCATCCCTGCAGGCCCGTGTCAGAGGCCCTCACCCATGGTGACCGTGTCCACCGCCGCCATCTGCACGGCGGCCAGAGCCGTGCCGGGCTGCAGCAGGATGATGCGGTACGCGGCTCCGATGAGGCCTGCAACACAGCACGGGGGCGGTGAGCGCGAGCGGCGCGGCCCCGGCCCCGGCCCCGGCCCCGGCCGCACCCCCCGGTCCCGCCCGCACCCCCCGGCCCCGGCCCGCGGCGCTCACCGGCGGCGGCGCCCACCCTCGTGGTGAGCCAGGCGCGGCGCGGGCACTGCTCGCCCTCGGGCCCGTCCCAGTACCCCGCCATGGCGCCGCAAGGGCACGGGCAGCGGCGCCGCGAACTCTCGCGAGAAGAGAGGGGAGGGGAGGGGAGGACAGGACCTGCCCGCCCCAGCCCCGCCCAGCCCCGCCCAGCCCCGCCCCGCCCGCCGAACCGGAGCCGACCCGGGGCAGGCGCTGCCGGCAGCTCTCGGGGACCGGGGTTCGAATCCCGGCGGCTCTGACCCGGTTCCGCCACCCGAGCGCTCCCCCGGAGCGGCTTCAGGGAGGTATCGGCTGCCCGCAGCGGCCCCGCGCGGCCTCCGGTGCTCTCGGGTGCGTGAGCTCCGTGCCTGACCCAAACCAACGCCCCCATGTGCGGGCTCTGGGCCCCGCGGTGCCTGCGGGGAGCGCTGGGGTTCAGCCCGAAGAGGAGGCTCCGGGGAGCCCTGGGGGTGGTCACGGAATGGTTTGTGTTGAATGGGCTTTAAAGCTCCTCCAGCCCCAACCCCTGCCACGGGCAGGGACCCCTTCCACTGGAGCAGCTTGCTCCAAGCCCCTGTGTCCAACCTGGCCTTGAGCACTGCCAGGGATGGGGCAGCCACAGCTTCTCTGGGCACCCTGTGCCAGCGCCTCAGCACCCTCACAGGGAAGAGCTTCTGCCTAAGAGCTCATCTCAGTCTCCCCTCTGCAGGTTAAAGCCATTCCCCTTGGCCTGTCCCTACAGGCCCTTGGCCAAAGCCCCTCTCCAGGTTTCCTGCAGCCCCTTTAGGCACTGGAGCTGCTCTGAGGTCTCCATAGACAGTTCTCAGCCCATTAGAGAATTGCTCCAGACTCTTCAGCAGATGATTTTTGTCTTGTCCTTGCAATGGAATACAACCAGGAGCTACAACCGGTGTCAATAGCGTTTCCCACGTGCACAGCTGGCTGGAAGCACAGGGACTTGCAGCCATTGGCCTCCAGCTGGGTCCTGACGGGTCCCTCGACCATCAAATACAACATCACCACTTTGCCTTTCCACGGTCCCATTAGAAGCTGGAGGGAAGCTATCAGAATTCCATCAGGAATTACGTATTTAACATATCCCCCCCAACTCATAGAAGGTCGATGGGAATTAAGGCTGCCTTTAAGAGTCCACTTGAGCAAGACTAGAGGTCAGTTTCAGCAAGTCAGTGCACAGAAAACCCAAAGAACAAGGGGAGAAAAGCACACAGTGAAAAGTCAGTTTAATGAAATCTTGACAAACGATGACAGAACTCCTAAAGCTAGAGAGGGTTACGGGGAAACATGATCACTTTTTAAACATGTAACATGGCCCCAGGAAGGAAATAAACCATTTTCTACACTCACTGGGAGCACAAGAGGCCACTCAGCCTGCAGGACAGCAGCAGTACCAGGCAATGGAATGGATACCTCAGCGGCTGGGAATGGGGAGAGAAGACAAAGTTGGGGGGGGTGTTATTCCTGCAGGCTTCTAACAGCTTGGACACGTTTCCAGCCAGGGAGAGCTGAGGACTATTTATGTGGCTCATTCCCTGCCCTCCTCTGGCTCGGTGCCCCATGCACTAGGAACAGGGCTACGGAAAGGTGCTGGAACTGCACATTTCTCCCCTTAACGCCTGCATTTCCTGTAGGTGTAATCCAAATTGTACGGGTAAGTTTACTCCTGCTGTTCTAACACCGTTCTCCCTATCAGGTGATGTGCTCACTTTTATTACACTCTTCACTATTCCCCCCTTGCCCCCAGGAAGTGTGGAAGGCTGTGCCCACATCAGGCAGCAGCCAGAACATACAATGCAGTAACTGCTGCCTACAGACCTAAGAGCAAAGATGGAGCAGGAGGGTGCTGCAGGCTGTTGGCAGGGGGTAAAACAGCTCATCCCCAACCTTCCTTCTAAGCCCCCCACTCCCCCAGCGCAGGGAATACACCACCAGGCTTGGGGTGGTTTGTTTGCTCAATCTCTGATCCAAGCTTTAGTGCAGTTACATCAACCTCTTAAACCACAGGGGCAGGATCTGGTTTTACCTGTCACCGGTTTAATAAGAGCCTTAAGGCAGAGATTGAAGGAAGAGTTTTGCTTTGGCCTAACTCCATCCTGAACAAAACCCATGGCCAGTTCTGCCTGTGGGTCACAGTACTATTTCCCTCTTCACTATAAGCATAGTGCAAACACACTGTAAGTGACTGTGTGCCACCATCAAACCCCAGCAGGCAGATAGGCTTCTGCTGCCTTCTGAGGCTTCAAGCACCATCACTTTTGGTTTAGGTAAAGCACCTCAAAGTGAGGCTCTGCAGAGACCCCATGGGGTTTGGGATCAGGAAATAACACCATTCCTCCATAAACAGGCTCTGCTAACCAAGACCCCTTCTCATTTCCTTTATGCTGCCACCAGGCAGCCTTATGGTGCCAGGATGTTTAAAGAGAGTAGTTTAAATCTGAGTATCAGTGGAAAAAGATCCAAGATCCAATATGCAATCTCATCTCTTATCTGAACATACAGAGGTTCCCCAGCTCTTGTGATACAGACACAATTGTGTGGGTATTAAAAACCACACTCTGCTTCTGCTGTGAGCTGCAGGAGATGGGGTGCATCAGCAGCTTTGTACATCGTTAACAAACCCCATCACTCTAAGGAGGAAACACACTAATTAAGCCAGAAGGCATGAGCAGACAATGCAGAGACCCCCCAAACACAGTGGCACAGCTCATTAACCCTTTTCACAGCAATCCAAGGTGTTCCTTCAATCAGGAAGGACAAAGCACCCCCTGCCCCAACAGCTTAAGTCTTCAGCAGTGGTTAACAACAGGTAACAGGCAGAAACATGATCTTGACTCCCAGTGAACAAAAAGGTGTTGCATTAAGACAGCGGCAGTAAGGACTGCTTTCCTAGTTGGAAAAGGCAACTGTAGCTTTTCTGCTACAAGCTGGGCCTTCTTTTTCAAGGCATGCTGCATTAAATGCTCCTTCCTCTTTCATGTTCTTTGAATGGGTGCATTTTAGATCCCAGCCTACAGGAGAAGGAGCAAGTGAGAAATTATCTGCCAGTAAACTATTTATAATGGAAATAACCTACAAATTGCACAAATTGTTCTAAGTGACCTGGTCACTGGGTTTAGTTGAGGGAGGCCCAAGTTCCAACTTTGCTGGACAAGAATATACCTTATGTTTTAATAACAAAATAGAGCTCAACTTTCACACAAAAGGCCCAACTGATGAGAAAACATCCGAAGCAGAAAGTGAGCTACGGTTACAGTAGGAGTACTTCAGAATTACACACAGGAAAACACATTCTTGCTTTTATTTTGGTGGAACAGAATACAATATCCTTCAGCCCAAACTATTCAAAGCTGGCAATATTACCTTTTTCTTCATGCTGCAAGACTTCAGGAAACAGAACAGGGGACAGGAAGGGTTAGAAGTTTCTATTTAAGGCCGTTAATCCAGCAAGGTATTGAAAAATGTACTCGACTTTAAGCATGAATAGCTGCATTGACTTCAGGAAGATTATTCACACGTAGGTAAATCAGGCAAGTGCTTCCATGGCTTGTTGAATCAAGCCATTAAATGAGAGCTGCTTCAGAGTACAGGTTTACTTGAATGGCTGGCAGAGCTCATTACATGAGCCCGGTTTATTCTTCCAAGGGCTAAACTGCTGTTTCCTCCTCAGCTTTCCTGAAGGTGTAATCTGTTTGCCTCCTCCACTTCACTGTAGCCACAGAAACATATTATTTCCTAAGAAAAAATTGTATGCAACATCTATTATATATAGTGGCTTAGCTCTCCCTTAAATAGGAACAGAAAAGAACAGTACAAAACAATAGTTTCACTTTCTCAACACACAAGAGCATCTTATCGAAAAAAACTAAAATAAAAAAATGGTATCACCACAATATAAACCCCCAAATAATAATAATGAAATGGGAAGAAAGAAAAGGAATTAGCAGAATCCTGCAGACTCTGAAGTCTCTTGTTACTGCATTAAAAAACAACCTTTCCTGGTGAAGCACAATGTTTTGTTTCTCTCTGTTTACAAACCCACTGGACAGGGAACAACAGTGCCCACAACCTACGCTGGAATTAAAAGGGAAAACACCATCATCTGCCTCATCTGCAGTCCAAAAAGAGAATGAACCCAAAAGGGCAGTCAGTGAACTGGTGAGGACACAGTTTCCCTGCAGGTGGCAGAAACTCTTAAGGGGGAGGAGGGGCTCCAAAAGCAGAATTCGAGCTGGAACCGTGTCGGAAAGTTCTATCTCGGAGGCCTGCAAGACATGAACTACTGAAGAAACAGTCAAAAGGTCCCACTGAAAAGCTGTGACAAGCTGTAATGTGCCATTTCAATTACAAGGAAGAGGGGAAATGGTTGGGGTTTTGTTGGGTTTTGTGTTTTTTATTTTGTGTTTTCTTTTTGGCTCATCAATATGATGAGCTTTCACGTCCCAAACCACATTCAGGTAGTTTCCAAGTCTGCTTTTTTCTGTGTGGAATCTACTGATCCAGACCAAAAAACCAAACAAACAGAACAGGGATGCACAGTTCTTAAGTCCTGGAGCCTTCAACACTGCCTGAAAGAACAGCTGGCCTGGGGGATCCAGAGGTGCCTGCAAGATGGTGTTCATAGCAGCCTTGCAAGCAGAGGGGCTCACGTCTGCTATGTGCTGCCAACATTCTGCCCATCACCTTCATCATTAGGACCTGAAACAAAGGAAGTTCTTTGTCATAAGAAATATCTTTTGTTTCTTGGTTTACAACAAGAGACCCTACCTAAGAAGCCCACAGTAGTCTCAGATTTAGGATCTCAAGGACAGATGAGAACCATAGAGGTCCCCTTCTGCCTGCCTTACATCTTCCTTCTCCAGATGGAGTTCTGTCCACTACAGAATTCTATGTTCTTGACTAATCTGATTTATCTCATTTGAGGATCCCACTAGCATCCCAGAGCCTAAAAGCTCAAATTTCCAGCCTCTTTAATCCACCCACTGCTTTTGTTCATACTCATTACTTCTTTCTCCCCCGCAGTGAATCAGGATGGAGGACTGGTCTCTGTCAAAGGCTGGATGTTCCAAGCCATAGGAAAGCAAAGCACAGTAACAAGCCAGAAGCGCATCTCTAATACAGTTACAGAGAGGACACAGAAAGATGTATGGAAACCAGGAAGCTCTGTGATCTTTCTTGCTTACCACTTCCAACTGATCCTGAAGGTGCAATGACGTCATCATCACTGTCCTCCTCGTTTGATTGTGTTACCTCTGGCTCAGGTGCTACATTCTTCACTTCTTGCTCTTGTTCCACTCTACTCCGCAAGGCCAAGATGCGATGGTGCAACGCAGCATACAGCTGCCCCGTGTCTTTAGAGCTCGCCTACATGGGTGTAGAAGCAAGGAAAAGGTGCAAAGAATTATAGAAGGAGAAAACACTGCTTATGGAATCCACACCAGTTCTGCCCAATTTCACCATCCAGTTTTCTAATGGAGGGTTTCCCACACTAGGTCAGAATGGGTTGTGGTAGACACAGGAAGATGCTCAATGGACTGAACTGTGATGGTGAGGGTCTGCTCCTCTCTGCTCAGCACCAACTCTGGCTCACATATGCAGCTGACTGTAGAGAAGCTCTTTACCCAGGAGTCACACAGCTTTTCTGACACCTCCAAAGCTTATGCTAACAAGTTCTTGAATTACAAAGTTTGTCTTGTAAAGAAAAACCAATACTCACTGATATAAGAAAAACTTTAACTCCCTGGTCCTCTGTATCCATGGCAGTGATCCGGATGCTCTTCTCACTGGCTTTATCGATCTGCATCTGAGCCCAGAGCTTGGTATTTAAGATTAACCTGAGACTCCCCTGAGTCCTCATCACTAAAGCCAATGAACAAGATCAGTTAGGTGGAAAAAGACACAACATGAAGCTCAAAACAGCCAAGATGGCTTTCTATTGTGGGACCATTTAAGTGTCTTTACAAAGAACAGCAAGGGAAAGCCCTTAAAACATGAATCATCGCAACTGTGTTAATCAGAAGAACATAGGCTATTAAAAATTAGCAGTCATGTCTAAAAATACTGAGCCCAAAGCCTTACATGTTAATACAGCGTTCAGTGGTTGAATCTGAGCTAATCTCAGGCTAACGCACATTCCTGCCAGTCTGAACTGTACTGCTCTATTCAAAGAGACTTTCCCTGCCACAAGCACCCCGTCCAAAAGGGCAGAGAGCCCAGATCTGAAGAACATTACCATAAATTTCTAGGCAAATATTGTAGTTGCTAAATGGAGCTTGCTTTTATAGAGAAAAAGAAGCAACTGGCACATTTGCTACATTAGGAGAAATATTCCCTTTGGAAAAAACGGTCAAACTGAAACAAGAGAAAAGGTCCAAACTGCTGCTGAGTTTCAGTAGCTAAGACATAACTAAAGTAGATGCTGCTGCACGTCATGGAAACATCCTATGAAAATAGCACTGACTGTCATCCAGTACCTCATTTCCCCTGGTTCCTCTTACCCAGCCGAGACTGTAATGTTCCATCATCTGTTGAGGCCATATCATTGAGTCTCAGAAGTCCTCGACCTCTTTCCACCCAAGACTGGGAGTTTTTATCAAACACAAACAGCTTGCACTGAATCTGTAACAGGAAATCTCTCTGTAGCATAGTGGTCAATTGAAATAATGTAATCCCTATTTAGTCACCTACGGCTGGTTAAAAAGATTCAGATTTCATATTGGAATTTTAGCTGCTATAAGCTGTGTAAAGCAAGGCAGTCATCTTCTCTCTTGCAATCAATTCCTCAAAATAGGCTGACTGGTTTCATAAACTTTTATTAACAGAAGCTGTAGACTCTTAAAGAATACCTGCTTTCAAGAGCAAGCAACAAGAACAATTTCAGATAAGGCACAAACTCTCACAGAGGAAACTTATTGTGATATGAGACTGGTGAAGGGTCAGCAGGCTTACATCAGTCAGTCATTTTCCTACCCAAACCATTCTATGAAAGAAGCTATGATGGATTCGGGAGAGTATGCTTAAGATTTGGATAGCCCAAACACTAACATTTCTTCAGAAAGAGGAAATCAAGAAACAACAAAGCAAGTCTCTGATTAACAAACATCAAAAGGTTGCATTTTAACACAAGAAAATCCATTAGAAATATAGGGGGTGGCTGAGCTGCAGGGAAGCAGGTGGTGTGCATCCATCCAGATGAAACCCCCTAAACTGAAAGCTTCTCAACCTTACCCTTTGCTTACCTGTAACACATTGCTTTCAGCTTCCTCCCCGGTGATCACTTCGACCTTTGCTAACAAACACTTCCTTGCTGTTGCTTTAGTGTAGGCTGCTGCAGACTCTGCCAGGGACTCGGAAATATTATTTGCTGAACAACATTTTGAAAGTTGGAGAAGAATTAGCACGTTTGTGAGAGGGGTAAAGGTCTCGCACAAGTACACCACAATTTGAAGCAATGAAGCACAGAAGACACACGTTAACAGAATAGTAGAGACAGGACTGAAATTGATAGCACAAATTAAAGCTTGGCTTTTAAGCAGAAGACACAAAGGACAGGAGAGGGACATTAGTGACCAAGCTTGTCCCTGCAGACAGTGTTTCAAAACCTTTCCTATCACACAGACATCTGTAGGTGCTCCAGCACTCCCGACACTGCCACCAGCTCTGCAGCTGGGCCCACCCATCTCCAGCACCATTCATGTTCCACTTTTAGTCTTTCTTGGAAGCCGTTCGCTAGAGAAAAGCCAAGCTTTCCAGAAAATCTTGCCAATCTGAAGAGTCCCAACAGTCTAAAATCCAGCAACAGGTCTTTGTTTAAGCAACCCATTTGGTGCACCCAATCAATCTAATGTACATTGAACTCAGACACTCAGTCACTGGAAGGAAGTTTGCACATTTCTTCTGCACTCTGTAGGTCCAAGCACCTGCTCCGTAACTCCCTCTACTTTCATTCTGCTGAAGTTAGTCCCAGTACTGCAGAACAACCACGAAAGAGACAGTGTAGCCTGTACATGTTTAACATCAAAGCCAAAAGGACAAGAGAATCTGTAGCATCCAGCACATCACCTCCCACCCTGAGGGTGTGTCTTTGGTTACAGGAGACAGTAAAGGCAACATAAAAATGTTTTTATAAACTAACAGGACATTTAAACAAGGATTAGCTACCATTCCTAAAATCATATTCCGTTTTTCACCTTTCTCTGGTGTGGCTTCCTGAGAAGAGGATTCAGACCCAGACTCTGTAGCAGCATTCTCCTTATTACTCTCTGTACTACCTTCATTTGATTTTGGTGGACTCTGTTGCAGAAAGAGGAGGGGGTAAACAGAAGGCAGAAAGCATACACTGACTCTGCAGAACAGAGCTAGTGATCAGTCATGAGGGAAGCCCTAGTGTTCATCACCCATACAGCACAAGAACCACCCCACAGATGACATGCTCCCACAGTAACAGCTATCCCACTTCCCCCGCCAAGGAACTGAATGCAGCCTGGCCTGAACACAGTTCAGATTATTCGTCCTTGAACTGAAACCAAATTTCAACCCTCATTGTGAAGTTATGCTCAATAAAGCAAACGAATTTCGGCTACAGTTCAACCTGGTGCATCCCTGGCTGAACTCCCTGCTCAGGGGTTACATGGGGATGAGTACACAGCATTCAGTGTTTCCCTTTTAGACCAGCATAGCAATAAAAACAACAGTAGGAAACAGTGAGGCACTGGAAGCTGTACCTTTGGATAGTACACCATGAAGAGTTTTCTGAATCACACCTCAGTACTGAGGCTGCTGGCCTTGGAATCCCATCACTGAGGGATCATGGAACTGAACTTCTCTCCATTTGGAGGACAGAAAACACTAACCACTCAAACAGTTATGCTGAAGAAACCATTTAAAGCAAACTGTGCCTTAAAGTGCTTGGACTTGAGAGCCTCATGGACTACTAGAAGGCACTCAAGCTCCTCACACCAGTAGAGGCCAGCAGGGAAATCCTGGAGGACACTGCTGCTGCAGCCAGTACTCATAATGAAACCCCCACACTGCTCTCAGAAAAGGGAATCACCTACAAGGGAAAACCACTGAAAGCAAGCCATGCTCCAGTGAGGAGGGTAATTAAAGGTTCTCAAAATCCCCGAGTGAGAATCCAGAACACAGACTCCTCACAGACCTAGAGCATTCCAGTCACTGTGGATACTCACTAGGACTCGCTCACTCATGTTCTGGCCAAAGACAAACTTGTTGCTAGATGCATCTGCACTGTTTGTAGAGTTCTCTACACTGGAGGAAAACAAAAAAACAACAGCAAACAAACCCAACCCCCCCAGCAAAACAGGTTTTAGAAGTCAGGAAATATCCATTTATCTTCTGATAGAATTCCTCAGTAAGTGAGAGAGTGTCACTGGCTTTAAGTACTGGTTGACACAGAAACAGCAGCAAAAATGATTTCAACTTAGTAACACGAGACCATGTCCTGGTTTTACAGAATGAGAATCCTCTCAGAATGATGGCAGATGGTTTTGTCACTGTAAATATCTTCCCTTTAGATATCTAGCTCCACATTAAGCCATGCTGAATGCTGAGGGCTTATTGTTTCATCATACAATGTACTTTTAAACAGTATTTACATGCACAAATGTGAATTACTACAGGGTTTTAGGTGAATTTTCTCAGAAAGAGTAAGAATTAAAACTAAGCCACTTAAAGACAGGAGGGATAAATAATGCCTCTTTCTAGACTATCTCAAATGCTATGCTCACAAAGAAGTTTCACAATCAAATCTCAGCCCTCACATCTTCCTTATAGAATAAGCATCCTCCTCCCATTTGGCATTTTTATGAACAGAGTTTAAATCCCATGCAGGAAGGACAACAGTGGTTGTTTTATTTACAGACTGAGAACACTTCAGTTACTGTTCACAGAATCATGGAACGGTTTGGGCTGGAAGGGACCTTAAAGCTCATCCAGTTCCAACCCCCTTGCCACAGGCAGGGACACCTTCCACTAGAGCAGGTTGAAGCACAGATCTGTACAGGATTCTACTGGTAGGTCCAATTAATTCCATCACTGTTTCTTTCTATTCATTCATGAGAGAACTTCTCTCGTCTTATGCTTGTTAGTTTTCTGAAGAGGCTTTGCTGAGGCTGTGGTCAAGCAAGTGGTGTCACATGCATCTCCCTTGAGGGTTCCCTCACATCTGAAGTTTGCCACCTCATTCTCCAGAAGCCTGGGATCCCACTGACCCAGTGTAAGCCCTGCATCCGAACAGCACAATCACAAATCACCCCGAGCACAGAACAAGTGTCCTCCGGCTTCCCCTGGAGTCTCACCTGGAACTGATGTACTGTAGAAAATAATTTGTTGCAGAAGGTGTGTCTGTCGCGTGAAGGCCGGCGCTGGGCACGTCGGCAGCTTCATCGCTTTCGTCCCCCAGCTAGGAACAGGAGGAGACATTGACAGTCTGAGCTACTGACCACAAACTTCCCAGCTCGTACTTTCCCAAGACAAACTTCCAGCCACAAGCACTGTATAATAAAGCAATATAAGCCTATGACCTGGTATAGCTCTCGCAATGCCAGGAAACCTGTGCAACCCTGTCTTCAACAAGAGGTGCTAAAAATAGAGCTGAATCACTCCATGCAGAGGTTTGAGCCCAGGCTGCCCCGTTTTTCTTATCTCACCTTTTATGTGAACTCTTAGTTTCATGGGAGCAACTCAGGAACACACTTCAACTTAATTCTGACCCAAAAGGTAAGAGAAAACAATAGATTGCATGGAGCTTGTTACCTATGAGCTTCTTATGGTAATGAACATTATTAATTCATTTATTAAATGTCTGGAAAACCAGTTTTACTGAACAGCCTGTTCACAGCTTTTCATTCTGTTTAAATACAGGAAGGTTTTAACCCTTCTATACAGGGTGGCTGCAGAGTACTTCAGAAAGTGCGTAATGCTCATGCCATCAAATGATCTGTTCCACTGCTGCTCATCCTCACTCAAAGACATCAACTCTTAGTCAAGATAACAAACACATGTGTACCTTAACTCTATCTCTTAAGTTTTGCCCAAATACAAACGCTTGCTGTGCATTTAGTTCTGCCTTCTCACAGCTGTCATCATCTGAAGTGTTGTTAGACTCTTTTTTCTGACATTCTCCTGCCTAAAGAAAAGAAATGCAAAGCTTTAGCCTTGAGTTTCTTCCCGCAAAAGCCACGTTATGACATTGTGAGTCACACAGTCATTTCCGATGACAAACCTGTAATAATATCTCCAGAGCTACAAGGCGATTTTTGCTTTTAAAATCCTCTTGTTGTTTAAAATCATCTTCCTTAATGAATCACAGAACAGCTGACGTTCCAGGGGATCTCTAACAATCCCTTGGTCCAAACTGTGCTCAAAGCAGCATCAGTGCTAGGCTGACCGAGACCTCCTACAGCCAAGTCTTAAAAAAATCCCAGGATGTTACCAAGCTTTCCAGTTTGGGAGCCTGGTTCAATGCTCGACTGCACTAAATGACAGAATGGTTTGGGCTGGAAGCAACCTTAAAGCTCCTCCAGTTCCAACCTCCCGGCACGTGCAGCAACACCTTCCACTAGAGCATGTTGCTCTCAAGCAGCAGTAAGATTTTACAGCAAGATTAGACAAAGTCAGAAGGACTATAAGGAAAGAATGACAATAGAAGCTGAAATGGGAAAAATCGGTATGAAAAAAACATCCTAGACTGGATTCAGTAAATCCCTGTTGCATTTAGTAAAGACAAAAATAGTACACTATTAGTATAAAACCTAATATTACACCTAAAACGCACTCCCATGGTACGTATAGAGAAGGAGGCTATCACTGCTGAACTGCACTCATATTCCTAAACAAACAGACCTTGTTCAGAGAATGCTGTTTTGAAGCCTGTCACCTTGAGTGTCCTTCCAGCGCTCCTGCAACTCACCTTGTCTTCAGAGTCAGAGCTCTTCGGTGCAGCATTACTTAGCGATTCTGATGTGGCTGCGGAATCTGCTGGGATATTCACACCATTGGTGCCGCTGCTGAGAACTGCAATAAGGAATGGGAGAATTCTGTAAGTTCTCTGTAAGTCCTACAAGTTTCCTGTAGCCAACAGCATGCTGTCTTCTTAAGGCCATGAAACACTGCAGTGTAAAAGACAGAGCTCCCGTAGTATTTATAAGGACCATGATTCAGCAATTCTTATCTGAATCAGAAGTCCACATGCAGAAACCCAAGTCAGCAAGAAGTCACTTCATCTTGGGAGCCCACTCTTCCAGCCTGTCCAGGCCACCCTGCAGGGTGCCTCTACCTTCCAAAGTGTCCACTTCCCCACTCACTTTGGTGTCATTGGCAAACTTCATCAGGGTACATTTGATCCCATCATCCAGATCACTTATGAAGACATTGAACAGCATCAAACAGAATATCGATCCCTGGGGGACCCCACTGGTGACACCTCCCCAGCTGAAGAAGCTGTTCACCACCACCCACTGGGTGCAGCCTGTCAGCCATTTCCCCACCCACCTCACATCTATGATGTTGCTCTTCTGAAAGGAGAAACCCAGCACAACAGAGACAGATGTTGAGTAAAACAAAGTGCTGCACTAAGGAGATCTGGGGGGTTTTTGCTCTCCCTTTGTGGTACTTTAGAAAGCAAAAGTGTTGTTTACCCATCTGTGAGAAAGCTTTTGGCTGTGGTGCCTGTAATACTGCTGGACGTAGCACACTGCGCTGCTGCTCCTTCGGCTTCTGGCTGGGGAGACCTGCAAGTACAAAGGGTTTTCAAGAGCTATAAAGCTTTAAAGTTGAAAAATTCAGCTTCAGCTCATCTCTCTCATCTCTTCTGTAACTGCTTCCAACAGAGAGCACAGCAGAAAAGCAGGCATTTAAAAAGCTTCCTCCTCCTCCTTTCCCATCTCTCACTCAAAACAGAATTAGTCCCAAGTAGAGAAGACATCTTCCTGGCCTAAAAAAACCTCACTTCAGTGTATATTCTCTACCTTATCCAGGAAAGCAGAGAAGAGAGTTTATGACTAACTCAGAAATACAAGCCAAAATGTAAGAGAAGTGAACAGTACACAAGCAATCCTATTTATGCACTGACACATTATTCAACTACACATTCCAGGTCTCCTCCTCCTAATGAAGAGATTTCCAGGTATTGGTGCAGGGAGTCCAGCACTACTCTAAGGATTGAATCAAAGCACACTAAGCTCCGACACGTTTCAGAAGCACAGTCCTGACCCAAGCCAAAGTCTGGCTGTGTCTGTGCATGTTACACACTGGATATGGACATAACCACTGTGGAGAACAGAAGACTTTTCTGCCTTCCACTTACAGCAGCAGTTTGAGGAAACTCCTAAATACATGAAATGCTTGAACTGGTTTCTCTGTACTGCTGCAGAACAGATTGAACTCACCCGCACTGGGGGCCTGACCATGGATAAGGATTGGGGGCTTCAGCCGGAATCCACTGCTCTTTTCCTCTGGAAGCAAAATGCAAACCCAAAAGGCCACAGCTGTAACACACTACATACACTGCAAGTCACAGTTCTTCGTGTTTTCCCCATTCTAATACCCTACAAGTTCCATAAATATCCACAGTCATTAGGAGATTTCCAAAGAACAAATTCCTGTCTTCCAAAAGAAGTCGGGATTTCCAGGAATCATCACAGCAAATGCACAAAGACAGAAACATGAGTTCCTGCAATAAACCCCCCATCCAAACTGTTTTTTCAGTAGCAACCTGAAACAGATCCTTTTCACACGAGAAATGGAGTGCTTTGTGTGAAGGAATTAGTCAAGGTAATAGAGGTTCTAAGCGAGAATCAAACTGAAGAAAGAACCAACACTATGACTGAACATGACAGCTGCTAATAAGCACTCAACTGCTAATTATCATCAATTCAGTTACACTTAATTGGTAGTATTAATTTCTCATCATTCCATTCGCTTTTACAGTAGGAAGAGAAATGAAATTCCTTTGTTTGCACTCACTACGCTTGAAGCTAAAAGGTAAAAAAAACAATCTCAAGAAATCATATTCATAAACCCACAGCTACTACAAAACAAGTTCCCAAGAACTTACAAGGTGTTATTATAAATGTTTTCTCTTATGGGCATAATGGCTGTGCTCAGCACCTTCCCATCTTACTTATTCTCCTGCCATTGAAGCATAAGATAACAATGTGCTAAACAGGACAAGAAACCTAGGGAGGAGCTTTGGACAAGGGCCTGTAGAGACAGGACAGGGGGAATGGCTTTAATCTGCCAGAGGGGAGACTGAGATGAGCTCTTAGGCAGAAGCTCTTCCCTGGGAGGGTGCTGAGGCGCTGGCACAGGGTGCCCAGAGAAGCTGTGGCTGCCCCATCCCTGGCAGTGCTCAAGGCCAGGTTGGACACAGAGGCTTGGAGCAAGCTGCTCCAGTGGAAGGGGTCCCTGCCCACGGCAGGGGTTGGAGCTGGAGGAGCTTTAAGGCCCCTTCAACCTAAACCAGGCTGGGATTCCATACAGCAATACCACGTTACAGAACAGGAGGGATTAACAAAAGAAGTGGTTCACAGATCAGGGCTGAACATCACCACAGATTATGGTACTTTGGCTCGTGACAGACTGACAGCAGTTTGCTGAGCAAAAGCAGAAAAATGGGGAAGCTCACCTGGTTCCGAGTCAGAGTTGCCTGTAGAGGGTTCACAGAAGCTTGATGGCATAAAAACGTTGTTCTTTGCTACTGCAGTCAAGGAAAAAGAAAGAGGAGCTGTGTACTTTATCTGAATTTTAACTCTGTTCCCAGACACATCAAAGCTGGAACCTGAGAACAGTTTTTCTAGTCATTTGTTTTTTTCTTTCTTCTCAACTAAACCAGTATTACAGGAACATTATTCTTCCCCACTCATGTCAGCAGTCTTATCACTGTCTGCTGTGGCTTAAGCCCCCAGCAGCCATCCATGCGCGCTGACTTCTGTGGTCTGTGTTACCAAATCCAGTAAAGCCCAAAGGAGTTGACAGATACGTTTCATATGAAAACTTACAGCTAGGAATTATTTTATATTTGTAGTTTCAGCTTTTAACCTTTTGCTGTTAAATTGAAGAAATCAACAGAAATCTCTTAGATTTGCTGTGATCAGGTCACTCTCCAACAACTTCATGTGAAAAAAGCTACCTTTTTCTTAGTTACTCTGCTGCCAGGGCAGTCTCAGGTCATGCGTAAGTTGTTTTAGTCTTTTCCTTTTCTCCCATTCCTTTTAAAGGAGAGAGGATTCAAGACATTTCCTACCTGGCTGATGCAAGAGAGAATGATCACTGCCTGTGGTGTTTACAGGCAGCAGCACAATTGCTGGGAAGGCCAGGGGTGAATTCTTGCAGTTCACACACTGGGAATGGTAATGCTTGATATTTGTATTCACTCACAGGAATGTTCTGCAGAATTTATGCTTCTCTTCACAGACACTTTCAAGTGGCAAGAACTGTTTTAGTTAAGAGATGTCAGTGCTTGGGGCATGTCTGGAGAATCCCCTACTTTGTTTCCATCATCTTAGCTGAAATCATGGGTTGGAAAGGACTTTAAGGCTCATCCAGTTCCAACTCCTTGCCACAGGCAGGGACATCTTCCCCCACAACTTCCATAAAGGTTTATTTGAATATTGCTGTCAGCATTCAATGGCCTTTGTTTGCAGAAAATCTTTCACTGTCCAAACCTCTTCAATTTTTGGTGGGGGTTATAGTTCTCACAAGGGTGGGGAAATTTTTCTTACAGGAACCTGCATCATGTTTTAAGGCAGACCATCATGAAAAGAGGGAAGATGGAATTAAAGGGAAGAAGCAAGTGAGAAAAAATAATCTAGAACTTAAATACAAAAGGCAAGTGCTGCATCTTCTGGTATAACAGCGTTCTGAGATGACTTTCCTTTCTCATTTCATCATGCTTAACCTTCTTCCAGAGCCTCAAAAAAAACAAACAAGCTGATAAATCCTGTCATACTTGACTTCATGCAAGATGATCTGCTGGAGACAAAACCTCCCAATGACATATATGGGAAGGAAACCCATATATAGCATATATAATATTGTAGCAACATTTACCTGACTGAGAAGGAGGGAACTGAGTTAAGGACGACGTTCTCTCCCGCTTTACAGGTGGACAGTAGCTCCCATCCTCTCGATCAGATTCTGCAGGATAAAGGCAATTAGAGGAAAACGCACAAAATCCTGGAGAGTCATTTTGTGGGATTTAATCTTACAAACAAGTCTCTTACCATCCCCATCTTCTGGGCTTGATCCATCTGCTGATCTCTGAAATCAGATGACAGTGATAAAACAAAGTCACACAATGAACATCTCAATCTCTCTGGATCCATCTGAATGTTTTAATCATCACTTTGAAGGGGTTTTCATTCCTGGCAATGCATTGCTCCCAGATTACACAGAAGCATCTTGAGTTTCACTCAAAATACTATTAAGTAAGATTTACAAATAAGATATCTGAAAATCTATACCCAAGCACTAACGTCTCCAGAGACTACTGCAACCATTATCACAGTCACAGCATCTAGATATTGAAAACCTCGAAGTGACAATGCTCAAATTCAGGTCAAGTTTAAAACCACCACAGAAGTTCCAAGCTCCTCATGAATGTGCCTTTTAGTTGGAAGTTCATTCCAAAGCACTCTCTGATCAATGTAACTGGCTTGAGCTCCTTCAAGCAAAGGAGGAAGCCCTTTCCCAGTGCACTCTATAAACCAACTATGGTAGTTTTACAGGAAGGAGTCTCCCAGCATGTTCCACAGTGCCAGAAACAAACCAAGAAGCATCACCAACTATCACAACATTCAACAAGTCTTCAAGTACAGGTTTCACATCTTTTCTAATGGTCCTGATCTTTTCTTCCTCCCCGATACACTTTCCCTTGCTCCTGCAACATATAATCCCATGATGGATTCCTTTCACGATGGGATGTGACCAGGGCACCATCAGCACCTTCATCTTGTTGTGAAACCTCCTGACACAACTGGATCCTGTCCCTAGTCCAACACTACCCCATTACCCCAACACTACTACATGAACAGAAGAGTACAGAGAACTCACCAGCATCCTCCCTTTGAAACTTGGCATGGGGAACAAACAGCTCTGGAACAGGGAATGCCACCCTCACAGGGAACAGCTTCTCCCTCAGAGCCCATCTCAGTCTCCCCTCTGGCAGGTTAAAGCCATTCCCCTTGGCCTGTCCCTACAGGCCCCTCTCCAAAGCCCCACTCCAGCATCCTGCTATACACCCACTTTTGACTCAGAGCAGCTCTTAACCTCAGCAAACACGCCACTTACACCTAAAGTTTAGAATTAACACTTGCTGTGTCTCCTGTGATGACAGCCCTTGGGGAGTCACAAACAAACTGCATTTCTACTAACTGGCATGGCAGCTACCTCAACAGCAGACCCAAGGTGACAGAACAAATCAAAGAGAAATCCATATCAACAGCTCCTTACCTTCTGTGCTTTATCCTTCTGAAATACAAAGACAGGTGGAGCAATGGCAGGTTTTTCTGTAAAAAAGAGAAATCAATGTTTTTTTTCCAACCACATTAACTACTGACCAATATGAAAACATTCTGTTCCAAGATGGTTTTACCAGCAATGAACCCCTCAAGCAGTTACATCTCAGTTACCCAAATTGTTTCCCCCGGTTCCTGGTAACACATAATTAAAGGACTTGTTCTTCAAACGCTCCTTTTTCCTTCTGAAGATCAATACAAGTGATACCCAAAAGCTCTTCGCCTTTTGCCTCCAGATCTGTTTCAAACCAGTACTTTGACCAAACAAGAGCACATTGGGAGGAAAAGCCCTTTGCAGCAGTAGTTACTGAACACATGTCAACTTTGCAGGCAAAGGTTTTCTCCTTCCCCGCCACAAAGCATTAATGCAAAGGGAGTTTTGCTGTACACACCCACATAGCCCTTTCTTAAAGGTCACCTAAATCTGACACTTGATTCCATTTGCATTTCATTACCATTGAAGCCTTTAGAAAGGTCCTAAATCTTCAACATTTGCACATCTAAAATTTAAACCGAATATCCCATGCATATTATTACAGAAGAACCAGTCTTTTCTACATCATTTAAGTTCATGTCTGCTTCCCCCTTGAAGTATCAACTCAACTGGTAGCAGGACACTAAGTAAACACATCAACATTTAGGCTTCAAGAACAGAAAGAATTTCTAGAATCAGAGAATCAATCATGTGGAGAAGAGCTTCAAGATCATCCCCAGCACTGCCAAGGCCACCACTGCCCCATGGCACTGAGGCCTCGTCTCCATGGTGTGTGAACACTTGCAGGGATGGTGACTGCAGCCCTGCCCTGGGCAGCCTGTTCCAATGCCTGAGCACCCTTGGGGAAGGAATTGTTCCTCCTCTCCATCTAAACCTGCCCTGGTGCAGCTTGAGGCCGTTTCCTCTTGTCCTACTACTTGCTTCTTGGAAGAGACCAACCCCACATCACTACAAAGAATGGGTTTTTGTTTTCTGTTGTTCTTAAGGACCTCAGAACAAGGCTAGTTTCTTTGCAGAAGTTCCACCTTTTCCGCAATTCAGTCTTACAAACCGGGAATTTCAGAAAATTAACATTTTAAAAGCTTTCAGAACTTGAAAAGCCACCAGAAAAAGGAAAGAAGAATGAAAGAATTGAAACAAGTGGGTGCCATGGTAAAAATGACAGGTTCCAAGAGCTTTGCATTAGTAGGGTGAAAGGACACAGGCCGAACAAACCCAGATTCCAAGGCCAGAAGGTTTGCTGCAGTAATCAGTAAGAGTCTAAGCAAGTCTCACTTGCATAAGCAGACAAGAAAAGCCAATGTTGAAATGTGCTCAGCAAAACCAACCTGCACAAACTACTGAAACCTCTTTCTAGGTACCTGTGCCAAAGAACAATGAGCTTCACACCTCACAACAAAGTAGGACTGAGGCAGCACTGGTGTACAAAGCAATCAAGATTAAGGAATACAGAGATTCCTTTCAACCAGCCTTGGTTTGCAAAAATGCCCATTTAGCTATCTAACACTTCAAACAAAAGATCAATATGAAGCAGAACATCAAAGAATCACCAGTACCAGAAGGGTCACTTCACAGATGTGAATGAAAATACCCGGACACAAGGAAATAAAACATTCACCTCAGTACTGGAAAAATAGGTTGATGTGTTTAAGAATGAGGAGAAAACAATCCAAGCCACCTGAGAATATCACTGCTTCAGAGAGGTGAGGAGAAAAACTATGGAGTCCACTGACTTTTAGGGGAACGATGCCAGGAAATAAATGTACCTGCACCGGTATTCAAAGAACAGACACCTTCAAAATTGGACTGGAGGACAGAAACTCAACACAAGACATGGCAGCCAGTACTATCAGGATGGGCAGAAGAGGCCATAGCTCAGAAGCAAGCTGATCGTGCTCGATCCTGTGAAAGCTTGTATCACTCTACTGGAAGAAGGAAGGGATGAAGATGACAAGTGGACGGAGATGTGAGCACAAACTAAAGAGATTAGCAAGTGAGGGAAGTCACTGGGGTCAGGAAAGGATCTGAAGAGAAAAAAAGAAAGAGAAAAAGGAAGATTAGATGAAAGAGTAGAGCTCCCCCCTGCAGCCTACGCAATGCTGCAGCAGTACAGAGACAGGGGTAGGAACACACAAGTCAGTAGCAAAAGATGCAATAAACATTGCTAACTTGGAATTCACTGTTGAGCTTAATGTTTCCCACTAGAACCGGGAGGTTAAGCAAGAGGCTTGCACAACTTAAGACAGCTATTCCCAAACTCGTGGATCTGAACGAACACAGTAAACCCTGAAAGCTTACTGTAAGGTTATTGTAACAACAGCAGGGAAATACTGCCCTTAAGTTTCTCACAAGCAGTCATTACACATTTGACTGTTTACTACCATTCCTGACACCACTCATCATGCCTCTTCGGGCACTGTCAGCTCATCTTGAGCTTGGGAGCCCAAGACACGCTGCAACACAGGACTTGTGAAGTAACTTCAGTGTAATTACGTGCCAGGTGCTTGCAGACATCATCTTCAAACGCTACACCTGTAACAGACACTTGCTTCCTGTTGTTTAATGTTAATATCAGAACTGTAATTGCCACTGTTGCAGAGCTCAAATGGAAGGAGCCGTCTTAAAGAAGGGGCCTCACACACTTTCATTCGCCTCCTTCCAGCATTTCCTCTCTTTCAGTAGCTGAGAAAAGGGATGAGAAACAGACAGCTGGGGCAAACTTGGGTTTGCAGAGACTTTGAAGAAAGTTCATCATTCTCAAATGCAAACTGTTGATGCCTACTGTCACCTACACATCATTCTATATGCCTAGAAGCACACCCAAATCTTACAATAGCACAGCCCATGCATTCCTATCCCTCTTCAGAGAGAGGTTAAACCAGTATTTCTTTACTTCGGGGTTTTCAGCTAAAACACACATATAAATGTACCTCCCTTAGTTTTACGTAACCACCCCTATTATGCCCTTAGCCAGAAGGAGGATTAACACGACTGGAAGTTAAGGAAATATTTACAACAGGCCTAAAACCATGGGCAACGACCCCAAATGCAAGCGGACGAACCGGGACACCAAGCGGCTCAGGACCGCCCCAGGGCCACACGCGCGGCGCTCGCTGCCCCGCTCCGCAGCGCCCGGGGCACGGACACGCTCGGGGACCCGCCGCCAACCGCCGCCCCCCCCCCCGGCGGGAGGCACCCGCAGCGCGGCCCCGGGCCGCCACCACCCCGGACCCCCGCGGGCACCCGGCGCGGCGGGGAGCGCGGCGGCCCGGCCGGCAGCTCCCTTTGTCCGGCCGCTCGCCCCACCGGGGCCGGGGCACGACAGAGGCCGCAGGGAGGGAACGCTGCCGAGGGCGGGCGCACGCCCGGCCGCGCCTCAGAGAGCGGGTGGCGGGGTCGGGCAGGGGTCGGGCTGCGGCCGGGAGCGGCGGCAGAGCCGGGCCGGAGCGTCCCCGCTGCGCAGCGCCGGTGCCCGCCTACCTTCGTTCGCCAGGTCCGCCATTTTACTTCCTCAATCCCGCCCACAATGCACCGCGCGGCCGGACGCTTCCACTCACCGCGGGCCGGGCCGGGCCGGGCCGCGCTGCGCAGGCGTCGATTTGTGGCTGCTCGAGGGGGCTTCGCGCATGCGTGTGGGGTCGGCCCGGCCCGGCCCGGCCCCCGTGCGGCCCGGCCCGGTCCCGGTGCGAGCGGGGCTGCTCGGTCCCGGCGGGGCGCAGGCTCCTGGAGCAGCGGTGCCGTTGCCTCCTATGGCTCCTGCGGCCCCTTCCTGCCGTAAACAAACGCCGCTATTACACATGGGACGGGGCCCTGCGCAAGTCGTGCCCAGATCCCTGGCGTGGCGTATCGTACCGTACCGAACCGAACCGTACCGTACCGAACCGTACCGAACCGTACCGTACCGAACCGAACCGAACCGAACCGTACCGAACCGTACCGAACCGTACCGTACCGAACCGAACCGTACCGTACCGAACCGTACTGAACCGAACCGTACTGAACCGTACCGAACTGTACTGAACCGTACCGAACTGTACCGAACCGTACCGAACCGAACCGTACCGAACCGTACTGAACCGTACCGAACCGTACCGAACTGTACCGAACCGTACCGTACCGAACCGTACAGTACCGTACCGTACCCACACACACATACACAGGACCATGGCAGGCCTTGGGTGTGAGCAGGAACCCGGCCTGTCTGAAGCTAAGAATGGGAAAGGGGTTTGGAAAGTTGTTGTTTGCCTCAAACAAGCCGCAGCTCCCGCAGGCTGCTGAGCCCATTGACTTCCATGGGCATTCGGCATCTACAGTTTGGAGTGGATTCAAGATTCAGAGGGACACGGCAGAGAAGAACATGCAAGGCAGTTAGTAATGATTAATGTTAATTGGTGTTTGGTCTGAATACAGGGTGCCTGCACGCAAAGGCAGATACATCACCTGTGAGGAGCCTGGCCATGAACTCTGCTGAGCACCACTGCAACTGTGCCCTGAAGAGGGTTCTGGTCTCTGGTTTCTGTCTGTCAAACACCAACTCACACGGCAGCCTTTGCCCCGCCGTGGGGAGCAGCGGTCTGCTCTGTAGGAGCAGGGGTGAGCAGCGGTCTGCTCTGCAGGGACAGGGGTGAGCGGGCAGGAACAGGGGTGAGCGGCGGTCTGCTCTGCAGGAACAGGGGTGAGCGGCGGTCTGCTCTGCAGGAACAGGGGTGAGCGGAGGTCTGCTCTGCAGGAACAGGGGTGAGCGGAGGTCTGCTCTGCAGGAACAGGGGTGAGTGGGCAGGAACAGGGGTGAGCAGTGGTCTGCTCTGCAGGAACGGGTGAGCAGCGGTCTGCTCTGCAGGAACAGGGGTGAGCAGCGGTCTGCTCTGCAGGAACGGGTGAGCAGCGGTCTGCTCTGCAGGAACAGGGGGTATCGTGGTGGGAAAGCCAGAGCTGCGCCCAGAGACTGAATACAGCTTTGCAGACACTAAATGCAACTTCTGACAACAGCAGCCAAGAGCACGCCCGGCGAGCACCTAAGAGAGGAGGAGGCCTGGGGTCTCAGCGCAGGTACTGGAGGCTGAGGGCAGGCAGGGCAGAAGGTGAGCAGGAAGGAGCTGATGGAGGGCACCAGCGCTGCTCTGTCAGAAGCAGCCCCAGGCAGCGCTGCTGGAGCTGGGCTCATTGGGCTGCAGCATCTCTGCTTTTATCCCAGCTGACTTCCAGCTGATTTTATCGTCTCCTCCAGTCATGGCCTTCCACTTCCAGCAGCTCTGTCGGATGTTGTCACTTTGAGCATGGCCACTGGTGCTCACAGAGCTGGGCACCAGTGCTGGCAGCTGGGTGCTGTCCAGATGGCAGCCTGAGTCCATGTGTGGCTTTGGACCTTGTCAGTGCCTCTTTCCTAGACACCTGGATCACATTTGGTGCAGAGAATTGCACGGCAAACATTGTCCTTAATCACAGGAGAACCATCATTTGCGGGCATAGACATCGTGGCTGACTTAGCTCCAGTTCTGATGGAATTAAGTTCCTGTCCTGAAGTAGCCATGTCCTACAAACTGAGCCAAACACTGCTGTTGAAAAGGTGTGAGAGTAATTACCCATTATGTGAGTACCTAAAAAACAATAATTACATTTTTAATTGAAGCCCTTGTTCTGCTACAGATACCCACTATGGAAAATTTCCCTTCTGAGCATTAAAGCCTGTTAAACCTCTGAGAAACTGTGAACATGCTTTTGCCATGGGAATGGCAGGCAACATAATTATAGGAATTCCTGTGCTGTGCTTCTCCAATGAATACGTGGTCCTGGTGTGGTGGCAGAGTGACCAAGGGAAGGGATTTAACAAGAGCGTACCTCAGAAAGTTGCACTCATTAGACCTGCAGAGCCAGCAGGTCACAGTGTGTTCTCTATTCATGATCTAATTAGAGCCCATTCTTCTCCAGGATCATTAACATAAGAGAGAAAAATTAACAGCTTTGGAGGCCACATTCTGGTTTCATTTACCTTCAAGTAAGTCTGTAAGGATGCCAGGGTAAATGTGATTCTTCACTTGATTATTACAAGAAAAAGTAAACTCCACCCCCCCCCAACTTTACAGTTCCTGTGACTTTTAGCAATTAATTAACAAGAGTTTTCAGTACCCTGTGAGCTTGTCAACTTGCTGATATAACGAGAATCTATTTTGGGCGTGTGCCATTAAGATACTATAAATGCCATACTTTCTGATTAGTACTATTGTTAGGTCAGCATTTCTAAAGGGACGTGGCCTAAAAGTCTCCGTGACTTTGACAAATTCCATGGCTGAGCTCTCAAAACCACACAAAACCCCCACCCTTTGGAAGGCTTCCTGCTCCGGAGACCTTGCAGTTGGGATGAGCTCGGACCGTGGTGGGTTTACTCAGTGTTGTGGTCCAGGACGTGGCAGTGATAACATCACCTGGCATTTTGACCCCTAGCTGTGAGCGTTCAGCAGCAGGCTAAGAAACAGAGGCTCTAGAGTGAGCACAGCAGCACAGGTAATGGATCTCATTTCCAACACTGATGTAACAAACCGCCCAGCTGAGAAACTCTGGAATTCGAATGACTTCCCGCTGGCACACGGCCCTGCTTGTCCAGGGAGCGCTTACGGGTCAGCTCAGAAGAGCAGCTCTCGCATAGCCGTCTGTGGCGGCTGCGGTGTGGTCACCAGCACCCACTAGATGGGGGTCTAGGATCACAAGAAGGAGCACAAGAGGGAGGCTTCCGAGGCCCGGGTGTTGCTTTCCATGGTGGGCTGAAGGCATGTGCTAAAACACAGGAGCTGTGGGCACAGTCCTAAACGTGCTGGGGTGGGGACCGCTGAAGCTGCTTTGCTTGTGACCTGCCAGAGGGGAGATGGAGATGAGCTCTTAGGCAGTGTTTTCTTCTGTTGGGCGCCACCTTGGATTAAAGCAAGGTCAGTGACTACCATGCACTCACACTAGTGCCAGGGTGGATGACACGAGTTTTCAGTTCATGTGGGGAAGGCAACAGTCTCTGTACAACAAAAGGAGTTTCCTGAAAGATGGAAGCATGGACTTTGATGGAAACAGATCCAAAGGGAACACACTTCTGCTGTTCTTTTTTAAACAGACCCAAACCCAAAACTAAACCCAAAATCAAACAAGTTTAAGAGCTTTTAAAGTTCAATATAAAGCTGGCGAAAGCTTTGCAAGTCACTGGGTTTCACAGCAATACTCTCTACAAATCCAGTATCGGTCTCCAGCAGTCGCACATTTCCTGTTTTAATAAAGTGAGCCTCTTTCACAAAGGGCGTTTGGGTCGTTGTTGCCATCCTGCTGATGAGAAGTGAGTGGGCTTTCCTTTCGCCTCACTGGTCTGTGGAAACTGGTTGCTGCGAACGAGCTGTGATTCTATGGTCTACAAGCACCACACAATGTAGCATCACCCGAGTGGTCTGGGAGTGCATCTGCAGGGTGCCCCCCAGCACCCTGCAAGAACAAGCCCATGCTGAGCAGCTCTGCAGTTGGATCAGCTTGGGCCAGCAGACACGGCAGCAAGCACATGTCCTCACCATCCCTGTGCTGCAGGTCACAACTGCAGTGTTCAGTGCTCAGCTACGGAGCCTTTCCCAGGAGCCCCAGTGCATGAATGTGTGCTCTGAGAGGTCCCTCCTGTATTTTGACTTTGCAGCTGGTTCATTATTAATAGCAGACACTATTACTCTCAGTTAGGGTCACTTTTATCCCCAGGACAAGCTGTTTCCCTCAGCTCTGGCCCTTGCAAGACCTGGCTCCATCCGGCTTCTCCCCTCCATCAGCCTGCCATTCATAGAGCCACAGACTGGGTTGGCTTGGAAGGGATCTTAAAGATCATCCAGTTCCACCCCCCTGCCATTGCCCAACATCTCCCAGCAGGCAGTGAGCGGGGCTGAGCCCTGCCAGCCCCTGGCTCCTGCTCTGCTGCTATCTGTGCAGCAGAGATACCCGTGCAGCACCACAGCTCAGCCTGGCCCTGGCCTGTGGCTGCCTGCTCCTCTCCCAAGGATTTGTTTTCCATCTTCCTAAGCTTGGTGCTCGGCTTTCCTCTGCAGCTGCGGGGCTCTGCAGATGCTGGTGTTCCACCTGAGAAGGCAGAGTTGGGCTCCTGAACCAGCCTGGGCCCCCGCGGCCTCCAGAACCCTCCACAGGCTTTGCTCCACGTCTACAGTGTGAAGGTACGGGGAGAACCCTGTAAAGGTAATACTGAGATTGCTGCTCAGTTTTGTGTGAAGACTTGATTATTCTCACAGGAGATCCCAAATGCAGGCAGAACTCCTGATCCGGAGGAGCATGAAAGCTGCTGAGGGACTTGCAAAGACCAGGAAATGCTCTTTCTTATTTTGGTTTTCAGAGATTTTGTGCCATTTCCCACTGGTGATATTGGAATAGGTGATGAGGGCATGGGGTAGATCTAATGTAATTTGTTCTTACAAAGTTGGTACAAATACAGGGTTTGTGAGCAGAAGCTCCCACAGTCCTGACCTTCAAGAAGCAGCTTTGCCTTTGGGTGTCACCTAAATGAAGGCAGGATCTGGACTGTGTCCCATCACTCCATGTAGTCCCTCACATTTCGT